ATGTTTTCTTTCTTTTTCCCGGTGCTCAGCATGGTTTTGACGCAAAATTTCCAGGCGCCTGCTTCTGGAGCTGGCAGAGGTGCTGCTCGTACACCTTGCGGATCGCCAGCTCCCAGGCGTCCAGCACCTAACGGGGCGAGTTTCGATTCGCTGGACCGATTTTTGGGTTCATAGATTCCTTGCGTTTGCTCGATTTTTCGTCGTGCTTTTTTTTGGTGTTGCTTTTGTAGTTGAACAGGGCATATCGATGTTTGCTTTTTCTCCCTTGACGTTTGGGGTTGAAGTGCTTTGTCTTACTTTGCCTTGGGGAGCTAGATGTTTTTGGGATGTGTGGGGGGGTTTTGGTAGAAGTGGTTTGAGGTTTGAAGTGTGTGGATGTAAGAGAAAAAGCAATATCAAGACAAACAGAAAGAACCAAGATAAAGAGAAAGAAACATAGAAAGACACATACATAAGAGAGTCGAGTATAATGAGAATGAGAAAGAGACAAACAGAAGGATAAAGACAAAAACAAAGACAAGGGACATAGAAATATAATGAGAACAAGAAGCAGAGAAAGAACAGAAAGAGAAGAGAAAGACAAAGGAAAGGCATGGAAGAGAACGCTATTAATAATTTCTCAGAGCAGACAACAGAGGAATATGAAGACAATTCTAGAGACAAAGGCAAAACCTAGACGAGCAAGGGACAGATAAGCATCATCAAAAGAAAGATACAGGTAACAAGATAAAGAGAAATATGAACATACCGATAAAGATAAAGAACACGAGAAAAGACACACGTAAAGATACGAATAAATAGAAATACAATGGGAAGAGGGAGAAAGATCAAGACAAAGATAACAACACACATAGAAAGACAAAGACACCTAGAAACAAACATATACAGAGAATAAAGATACATATTACTATGAAGAGACATATACATGCAACTAGAGTTCTGGAATATTTTTAAACTTCCGCCATCCGGCTTCGCCGGCTCTACTAGGAGGTACCCAAGAAAGTACCCAAACCCTACGCAAAGGACAAGTGGATTTCGCTTGAAACCCCTGCCAAAAAAAAGACTACGCTTGATGACCGGAAACCTACCGTAGAGCAAACTTGAATGATATAGGTCTAACGGCTGATTCCTCTTTTCCATTCTTTTCAACCCTCGGCCGGTTCCATGGGTTTCCGGGGGTTTTCGCTTTGAGGATCCCTAGGGTTCCCTGTAGGTTTCGCTTTAAGGTACAACCCCCCATGGTGTTTGGTCGTCTTTCACCGGGCCCAAGCGGCCCAAACCCCAAAGGACCAAACCGAGGTCCAGTGGAGAGGTTAGAATACGGGTGCCCGTAGTTGTTTGGTTTCAGTAGTCTATTTTAGTAGGGGAACCCTCCCCAAATCAGAAACGGTCAAAGGGCACCAATTGCTGGGGGACCTAGAAACCCCAAGGGTCGAAAGGCCGGGGCTGGCCGCCCATTAGGACACCCAACCTCCGACCACTGGCCACGGTTCAGAAGAGCCCTCTCAAATCCAAGCTCTTGGCACCTTTTGCCCGAGGCCATTCGGTCCCTGTGGATGGACAAAATCCAGTTCGCACCACCAACCAAAGCCTGGAATGAGGATTTCCCTGTGCCAACAAACAATGGTTTCCGGGTTTCAAAGTGGTGCAGGATTTCGCCCATCCACAGTAGGACAGTGACACCATGGCAATGGAAACCACTACATAAGGATTTCATTTTAAAACAACAAGGTCAATATTGTGTCCCCACGTTGCATTGGATGCTTGATGGGTAACCACCTAATCTTCAATTTCCGCAAGTCCACTGGAAAAGACAAACATACTTCTAGTGGTGATAGATTCCCTTTGAAACCCACACGGGAAAAACAAACATATTCTGAAATGCAAATGGAAGTAGTTGTATCATAGTAGTTTGGTGAATGTACTTAGTGCCCTGGATATTCCCGTTACACCGACACACGGTGAATAGTGGCGTTGCTCGCTTTGGGAGTGCCCATGGTTTTGGCACATGGCACCGCTTCAGGACCGTCTGTTCTGCAACCCGCAAAAGGGGCTCCATTTCCCTGGGAGGTTCTTCTCCAACAGATGGGCCGTGATTGATGGGGTCAAAGATTTGAGCTGCTGTCCTTTCATCTGGGACCTATACACTGCATTAATGAGGGGCGGTGAATCGATCCTTTTAGGAATTCCTCCAGCTGGTGTGGTCCTGATCCGACCAGATTATAGCCCAGAGGGTCAAGTAACTCATAGGACCAGTTTTCTTTTGGAATCGGACCACCAAAACTGGCGCATCGTTTTTCCTTTTGGTTTCCACCACAAAGGGGTCCCAACCCCGAATCCGGAAACATGAGGTGAGGCGCCGATCCAAGTACCGGGCCCCGACTGCCAGGAATCTTGGGGAATCGTGTCTTTCCTTTTGGTTCCCTTTAAACCCACAAAAACAGGGTACCTACTCAAAACAACACAGTGTTTTAACACGTAGTAGGCCCTCAGTTAAGCCAAAAGAAGTGTCCAAAAGATCCAAACCACATACACTAAAACCCAGAAAAAGTTCTGAAGCACAAAGCATCCAAAGGATCCAACAGCTACAAAAGGTTTCCCCCTGACAGGTGTCCTGAGGCAAGTGTGAATGGTGGTCTTTCCTTTTGGCTCCAGTTAGGCTCACAAACCAAAAAGGGGACGAACTTAAAGCAGCACACAGATGTTTAACCCCTAGACCCTCAGCCAAAGAAGTGTCCAAAAGATCCGTTCATAAACGAAAAGGTTCGCCATAACCGTTAAAATCAAAGATCCAACTTGCATCCCAAAGCTGCAAACCACACATCCCCTTTCATTACCCAGTGGTTCCTTTACCTTCCATTTGGTCAAGGCCCCAGGAAAAATGAAAAAAACGTTTCCAGTAGTGAGGAATTCCTTTTAAACCCAACAAGGGGCAAAAAAAAAACATATTCTGAAATGCAAATGGAGGTTCCCCTTCCCTTCCCCTTCCCCTTCCCTTCACTTCCCTTCAGCCGACCCCATGCGCCTCCGGGCGGGGGGGCCCAGCGGCCAGCGAGGCCTCCTCGCTGTCCAGGTTCACCACGTCCACCTCGGATGGTTTCGCCGGACGGAAGCGTCCCCACTTCGCGCTGCACCGCTAGGTCCTCCAGATTTGAGAGAGAATAAGGGAACCCTTCTTTCTGTAGTCTACTGTAGTGGGGGAACCCTCCCCCAAAATAGAAACGGTCAAAGGGCACTGCTGGGGGACCTAGTCCCTTTAAATTGGCCGGGTTGCCACAAGAACCCCCCAGTTGCGCCAACACATGGGAAAAACCTCAACTTGTCCCGGAGAAAAACAAAAAAAGAACTGGAGAGGCATGTATTTTTCCGAGCAAAAAGCAGGAAGTGAGTGAAAGTGAGTGAATCGTTTGGGAACAATGTGGGTATGTGTCAAAATGGGGATTCAGACAGGGAAATCCTAAAATTGTTGGTTTCCTAATAGTTTCACGCTAAAACTACCCCCAACAAGGGGCCCTCATTACTCTTTCTGGCCCACTCAGATCGTATTTGCGTTTAACAACGGCCTGTACTTTTCTTGGATGTGGTCCAAAAACAAGTGGGTGGCCAGTACAGGATTCATAAATGCACCTGGAACAAAGACCAGTAATTGCCTCCCTGGGCAACGCAACCTGCATCAGCATGTTTTTTTGTACCCCCTCACATTTCAAAGACGGGAACTGGCTCAGACAAACACAAATCCGGATCGAGGGGCGAAGAAGCCGTGCTGCCGCATGCCGGAGCTCTCCTCCGGAGTCAAGCGATCCGAAAAGGATTGCGTAGTCACAAGGGGACCCCCAGGTGGGGTTGGGGTGGGGTTGGGGACTTGGGGTTGGGTCTAGGGGTTCAAACCTCGGTTAGCTTTCTGCTCCCCTGCTAAAAGTTTAACTTTTAGTGGTTTAGTGGAAACCCATTAGTTGGCAAAAAGTTAAAGTTCTAACAGCCAAGCAAAATGCACCAAAGAAACTATCTCCAAAAACGGTGGCCCGTTACTCAAAAAATGACGAGCCACCATGGAATGGTGGAAGGCTAAAACTGGGTTTCAAACAGGTGCTTGTTCCTGGTTTCCACTAAGACAAACACCAAACTTGAAAGAAACTGGAACCCGTGCCTGGACCGTATCGAAAACATAGGAAACTGACTGCCCGAGTGAACATCTCGTCGGCTGGTTGTGTGTACATAAGCCTTGCAAAAATTCGGGACGCCTTGGGCGGTGTTAAAGTGAAGTGCCACCAGTTGAAGAGGTATCTCTTCGGAAGGTCTCAGGTTCGAGTCCCCGAGTCCCGGAGTCCCCATTTTTCTTTCCGACTTAGGTCAGGAAGACAGGCTCCAGTTCAGGCAAGCTGAGGGGGCGCCGAAAATTGCTTTGAGTTTTTGGCCCTTTACCGGGCGGTCCAAACGGATCCCCTGCAAATTGTTTTATCTTGTGGGTGAAATGGAAACCCCCACTAAACCAACTAAACAGCTAAACATCTGCTGTAGCGCTGTCAACATCCCCGGCATCGCTTTCAACCCCCTCGGCACCAGTCGGCTTTGGTTGGGCTTTGGGCTAGGATGCTCGCATGGGGGGCTGTGCCCACCCACCCCATAGGGCCGTTGTTTGGCTTTGTGAGGACCTTAAAATGCAAACCCAAACTTTCACCTACCCTACGTACTGTAAACCACCACACACACAAAACCACCACTAGACCTACCTAACCGTAGCAACCTCAAACCTACCCCTGGAGAAACCCTAAAGAAGCCGTACACCCACCCTAACCACCCTAAACAAGCCCACTCCAAACTAGCAATGAACCATCGCTACGACAACCTACGCTAAACTAACCCTAAACCCCCCCACACTAAAACCACCCTATACCAACTCTATTAATACCACCCTAACCAAACAATCAAACCCAAATCCAACCTGAACCCATCCTGAACCCACGCTAAAGAACCCAACATGTTTCCCTTTAAAACCAAAAGGGTACCCGACCCACAAAAGCCAGACCCATTTCAGCAAGACATCCCAAAAAGGCAAGACATTTTAAGAGCTGGCGGACATAAGTCCTCACCAAATTCTGATGTCCAATCAGAGGGTCCCCAATTAAACTGGAGGGCCATTGTGTTCGTAGCTTTATTCTGATTTGCTTCAGCATTTGCGTGCTTCTCTCCGGGCTTTTTGGCTTTTGTTGTTCTTTTTTGGGTGAGTTTTCATATTAGCTTTTGTTGCCAAGATCAGCGCCCCTCAACATCACAAGTAGCGCCTTCTTCGTAATCGCGCGCTTTCCCCAATTGCAGTCCCTTGCACACCCAAATGATCACAGGTAAAACTCTACACCCCTTGGTATGGCTTGGCGGAAGAAAAAAACAACTTATTTTGCAGCCCCACCAAAAATTGGTTACAGAACCAAAACAACCAAAAAACCTAACACTCACTTCCTGAGTGGATTGGCCAAAACAAGTCCAAACTTGTTACTTGCAACTAACATGGTCTTCCCAAACAGCTTAAAGTTCAGGATATTCTCTTGTGATTATTACTTGGTTGGTTGTTTGGTCGGCTGGTCGGCACAAAGAGTCGCCCGGAGTGGCGTGGGAAAAGGGAACTTATGGATTAGGAACCGGGGTACCAATAATGGTGTCCCTTTGAGTTTCTCTTTAATTTAACCTCTTCATGGTAGCATCAACAAAAACATCCATGAACTGGTTAATGTATACTTGTGTGTGTGTGCCGTGGGCTCAAACTCGGGGAGTGAGAAAACGTGGCAACAGTACCTCAGTTGTTCAGTGACCCTGGGAAAAAAGGGAACCCTATTTGCGGAAGACCATTCTTAGTGGGGCAGCCACACAAAAAAATGGAAAAAGGGTGCCACTGAACAACCTCGGTTGCTTTCTGCTTTGCTGCTAAGAGTGAATAACTTTTCGTGGTTTAATCCGGAAAACCCATGCGTAACGGCAAAAAGTTAAAGTCCTAGCATCCCTTGGCAAAATGCAACAAAGAAAACAAAAGCCAGCAGCCCCATGTCGCGCCCATTCACCGCCTGCGCAGTCACCTCCAAGCCTCGCAGGGCGCGTTGCCTGGCAAAGGCGCAAAGCTCAACACACGAACCACAGGGGGTTTTCACACCACCCTTGTTGGGCACTTGTGACTTTGAGACACGGGAGAAAAAAGCTATATGTATGTATATATATATATATGGTTTCTAATTGTTTTGGTTTGGTGGGAGGGGGGGGCGCTGCCAGGGTGTTGTTTTGCTTTTGTCCAATGAAACAGCTCGAAATCACTGCAGATCCAGGTGACAAATCTGTAACTCACTAAGTCCTTAACTAACCTTGCTTTGGTTTCCCTTTCATGGGGACTAAAGCAAGCAAATGGGTTTGTAAATTCTTGATCAGAGGGTGTCCCCAAAATTGGTGGGAACCCAGATCACAACAGTGAGGGGCACGAGACCCTCCCCTTTTTTTTCATAGGACGGGTTTACCCTCCTCACACCAGAGACATCGTCCCTTAACGAAGTGCTTCCACTTACCACTCTAGTAGGCAACCCTTCGGGTTTTTTACCGGATTTCACATCATGATTTCCCTTGGTTACCCCATGATGTAAAACCTGGAGGTAAGAAATCCGAAGGGTTGCCTACCTAGGTCCTCCAGTAGGGAGGTTAGAAGAAGGGTACGTACCAACCTTTTCTGTAGTCCAAGTAGTCTATTTTAGTAGGGCAACCCTCCCCCAAAAAAGGACCTAGCTGACAAAGACCTAGCTCTAGCGGCGAAATCAACGAGAAAAGTGCCTAACCCCACGGGTTCGCTCGCTCGAAGCGGCCGGCCGGCCAGAGGCCTGGAGCTCAGAAGTAGCTCGTTGGAGCTGCCAGGCATATCCACCTGACTGAAAGCACAGCCCTCCCGTGATTTTTTTTTGCGGATCTTCGGCGGCTTCCCAAGAATGGGTTTGTGATTGTTTGTGGCTGTTTTATTGTTCTGCATAATTACGCAGATATAACGTAGATCTATAAAATGTATTATATATGTATGGCTTTCGGATGTTTGGCTTTTGTTGGAACCTGAGTGGGACCCCCAAGACCATTTTCCTCTAACTGAAACCTTCTTTCAGGCTCCATGTATGCTTTTGGTAGGGTCTAGGCCGGGCTCAACAAGGGAACCAACACTTTTCGACCATACAAGTATGGCCATTGGTCAAAATCCCGTACCCCCAGTGAACATCCCAAGCCCCACTAGAATAGACTAAAATGGGTGGTGCACCTATCCCAACAGGGTACCATTGGTTTTGAACCACAGCCATATTACTCGCCAACAACTGATCGGGCCCCCGACCTGGCAATATGCTCAGTGACTCGTATCTCCAGTTTGCTCCTTGGTACATGGGGAATTGGCCATCAGCCTATCAGTTGCTCATACAACTGGCGCTCTTGACCCCTGTGAAAATAGAACTTGTTCCACTGTCGAGCCATGTCAGAGTGATTGCTGCTCATTGCCAGCATTTCTGCACAGAAGCTGAACGAGAAAGAGCCTCCGGAAGCGACTCCGTTGCAACCCGTCATCGTCCGACTGCATCCTTGGAGGTTGGAGGGTTAAGAGCAAAGGTCACGAACTCTGTCTGGGGACACGATAGGAATTGACCTGTAGAGAGGAAAAGGCCCAACCCTCAGCAAAAATCCTTAGCTTACAAGCGTTTTGACTGTCTGTAGGCTAGGCTACAGCACCTTTGATGTCTGCCCTGAATATGCTTGATTGTTTCAGGCCAAACCTCAGACATGTCTGTATCCTAACTCCACCCCAGTGCCCACTGCTACTGTTCGTCACGGCCATTTCGCAGTGTGAACATCAACTTCCTGGTTTTCAAGGTCCCTGCGACTATCAAGCCCTTGACCGCATCGTACCCGCAACACTTGCCCGACCCGCAATGGCACCTCGGCCGGGGCGGCTCCAGCGTTCGCCTCGCTTCCGAGAGCTCGGAATGTGAGTGGGTGCCGGGTTTTTGTTTGAGGCTCTGTACCCTTTTTAGCCTGTTTTCTTTTTAGGTTGGTTCGGGACACCAAAAACGTGTGTCTGTTGTTAAGGGTACCCTGATTGGTTGGTTGGTTTTAACTTCAGAAACCAACAGGAAAAGCCGAAATCCATTGGAGACACTCCCAAAAGAGTGACCGCCCATTGGACCGATCGATTCCTTTTCTGGAGTCCCAAGGTCGACTTACCAGAGGCAACCTCTGCGGTGGCCAAGAAGAGAAACTTGTCAAGTTGAAAAACAAAAATGCCAACTCAGGTCTGAAAGATTGTTGCGGAGAAAAAAAGGGCGAAAAAGCTTGTTTTAAAAGCTGCAGGGGGTACTCGTCGTCCCCCCCCTGTACAAGTTGCAATTTACTGTTCCAGCGCTTGGAGGTCCAACGAAAGGGACAACGGAGGCATCCATGGGAACCAGCAAGACCCATACTAGTGCGAGAGAACAAATCATCAATCAACACGTCCAAACTCAAGCAGGGTTTCGTATGTTTCCCATGAAACTCGCTGTAAATTGGCCCAACAGGTGATGTTGAAACCACCGAAGTCGGGCGAAACGCCAGTTAGAACCCTGCCAGAGCCACCGGGTGAAGCTGGGAGCGGGGCTTTCAGCACATCGTAGTTGGACTGCAGCAGCGCATGGCTATCCTGCGGGACCCCAAAACTTCGATTTCTTATCGGGTCACTTTGGATACCTGGTACAAAAACCGGGTGAGTCACTTCCTCAAAACCTGGTACAAAAATGGTGAACCCAGAACCATGTAAAGAATTAGAAAGGCGGCCGCGGCTATTTCTAGTTGGGATCGCCCTTTACTAACCTTAATCTACCCAGGTTTTGATTGTGGACAGGATTAGCCTGGAGTCTCCTCCTTCTGACCCTTAAAAAATGGTTGGTCATGACCCACAAATTTTCGGGGCCGTGGAGCCATTTTGTTAAGGGTCATGGAGACTCCAGGTGGGGACAATGTTGACCCAGGATGAAAATAAACCCGAAACCCTTTCTTAGGGGGGTGAAACCCCTCCAAAAGTGGTCTTTGTTCCCCGCAAGGGGACACCCCCCCCAAAACACCACCAGGGGTTGATTCATCCGGGGGTAACATTAATGAACAAATTTACCCTTCAACATGGCCATGAAAAGTTACCTCCAGGGTTCTTCCTTTTCAGATGGATCTGAAGACATCAAACGCGATTTCTCCCAGGCCCTTCTTAGCGAATGGCTTCGAATCCAAACGAGCAATGAGTGCAAAACAACATTCGGGGGGCATCAACCTAAGTTTGATGGGACGACTCATGGGATAAACGTCATATGAGGGACCCCTTGATGTTTTTGCGGGAAATAAAACCAAACGGAAACCCAATACTTGGTTGCCGTTGACCCCTCTGCAAACAGTTGTTTTCTTTTGCGGTCCAATGGAACATTCACTGTTTCCCAAAAAGTTAAAGTCCAAAGATCCAATCAAATAGCAATAAGTTAAATAGGGCCGAGAGGATAATGGGACATCTTTGGACCTCATGTTTGTCATAGGATCCCAACCTAAACCAACTCCCTCCATTTGCTTAAGTCCCCTGGAAAAAATAACAAAATGACCAGTAGTGATAGATCCCCTTTAAACCCAACAGGGGAAGATAAAACATATTCTTAACCAAACGGAAGAATCTGTCGCTCGATCTGTCGGCCGCACCTGCAGCGCATTCAGCTCCTGTGACAACTGCGCCTTCTCGTTGCTCCCCGCCTCACGCATGCGACGCGCCGGATGTGTATGGACGCACCTCTCGTGGGCGGGTGGATGTCGGTCTTCCTTTTGGTGTTTCCTTGAAACCCGCAAAAGGGGTACCCTCAAAAACACACGGACACACACAGAAATATATGATTTTCTATAACCGTCCATGCGAGTATGATGTTTATGGGACGCACATTTGTCCACCAACCACTTTTGAAGGGGTTCCCTATTGAAATGCATGGCCATGTTAGTACTATGTATACTACAAAATTGTGTAAACACATGACATGCCAATCAGTCAACAAACAAGCAATAGCCTTGCCCATCCCCATCTAGCCGAGAGAGTGAACATGGACCCCCCCTCTGCCCTGGCGCTCAGGCGCTAAGAATTCAAAAGCAGGATGCGTGCTGCTCGGGCGGATTGAGCCAGGAAAAGAAGCACAGGGATGGGGAATATCCCAAGGTTGCCGGTCAGCGTGGCTCAAACTTCCTCAAACTCAAAGACTCAAAGACTCGAAGATTCGCTGCTGTAATGGTCACAGCCGTGGTCAAACAAATCATGCCACAAATGAACAAGAGCATCTGGCTTGGATATTGATTATTTGCGGACACCTGCCACCAACCATAGGTTGGCATCGGTTGGAACAGTCCGCGGCACTCAGCAAACCCTCAAAAATGAACCCGCATTCCAAGCAGAGATGTGACGAACATTTTGATCCTGGATACTAAGCCAACAAACGGGTGGCAAATTGGATCACAACCCCAATTGTTACAATCTCAGGGCTTCAGAATACACTGCAATAAATAAATTAATAACCCGAAAATGGATCTGGGCAAAATACGACATTAATATAAATCACAAATTGGGAACAAGGAATCACCAAAAAAAAAGCATCATCACATGATTAGAGTTAGCCCCAGTTAATGCATGTTTTTGTGTTGCTTCACTTTGAGTCACTGGTAGCACGTAAAATGTATCCCAAGTCGAGCCCATGGGTGCGCTCGTTTTTTTCGCCATGGGCGAACTCCGGACCCCGGTCCTGCAGGCGCTGCGCTTGCCTTAGCAACGTCCTCCAAACCTCCGGCCCTGCTTCGCCACCAAAACACCTAAGGCCTGGGGCCTGAGTTGGAGGAAACTAAGTGGGTGAGTATCGGGCGGGGCGGGTTGAACCTTAGATTGAACACGACTGAACAATCAAAGGCCACCTAAAGGGAACCAGCTCACTGGAATATCATGAAAGGCTCTCAGTGATCTGTCACTTATGAGCGACGTAATTCACATCACCCACTAGAAACGAGATCGAACTCACAATGTGATCTTGAATGTAACTCATGGGGGAATTGTCTGTTGTATTCTTCGCCTATTTATGCACGTAAATACCATGTTTGTACATATAATATAATTGCCAAACAACCCCCAACGTCCGTCCTTCACACGAAGCCCGGCTGCGATCATCCTATGAAGCACTCTCCTGAAAACGGGGAAGCAAAGGGCAGTTCCTCACTTTGAAGAGACACCCTCAAGAATCTCGTGTTTGCAGGGGAGTATGCTGAGCCACGAGCCATGACTCTCTTCCCTCACGACAGAAGTGGCGTTCAACAAATCAGGGCCTTCTCAACATCATTGGCCCGAGAATTCCCGGTGGACACCGGCCCTGGACATCAGGAAGTGGTATTTGTTTTGTATGTTAGGTTGAATTTCAGAAAATGTTAGTGGTTCATCACCCTATGTCCCTCATGTGTTTACTGATTTTCCTCGGTTGTAACAAACAGAAAGGGTCTGACAAGCAAACCACAACTCATCTTGGCTTGGGATATATTAAAGTGATATTGTTTGACCCTGCTTCCATTGTGTTTTTTTGATGGTACCTTTTTTGGGGGACACCAAGTTTCAGGATGGCCTACCCTGACAACTAAGAGATTTTGGAGGCCCGACTATAGAATTGAACCTGGGTAACTCAAAAGTTGCCAGTTGGCAGCCCAAAGCGCCTCAAGTTGAATGGCGACCCACTCACACACCACATGTTTAGAGAAATGCCAAAAGGAACCACGCCAAGTCTGAAACGCGGACGAAGCCCAAACGCTGGTTCAAACCCAAGAAGCGAACACTTGTCAAAACCCGAAGTGTCAAATGGAAAAACTGAGTTTGGTCCTAGAAGCAGGTAAACTCTTATTTTGGTTCCCTTTTGTGCTTCATTCAATTGGTGATCCCAATTTTGCATATCCACCACCAAAGGCAACTCAAGCAAATCTGGCAACAAATAAATAATGCTTAAACCACCCCCCAAACTCCCTAGCAAGGGGAGTCATGGGAGAGTGATGGGCCACAACGCAACGCCAATTAACTCGGGGATAGGTGGGGGTCTGGAAAACCAATGCCCGCCCCATAAAAGCGAAAACCACATCACGTAGATGTGGTGCTCCAAGACCATTCGTGGCCATGGGGAGAAAAGGGGGCATTTGTCTTCCACCGAAAAGCGAATGTGAAAAGACGTCAGTCACCGGAGGTCCGGATAGATGGCGGAACCCTGCTCACTTTGCGGATTGGCCAACAAGTCCCCAAACTTATCTTGCCACGTTCTAAGGTCCAAACAAATCAGATGGAGCCAAACAAAGAAAAAGGGAGAGAACAAAAACACCAGGCACAGGTCTGGGTGGAATTTCCCCCCCTTTTCCAGAAGGTGGCTCAATGGTGGTCTCTCGCGTGGCTCTCGCGTGCGTTCCCAGGCGCTGGCGCATCTCCTGGAGCAACTTGGCGCGGTTCTGGCCCAGGCGCCTTGCCAGCGCCAGGACCCGCCGGGACTCCTCGAGTCGGATTTCACAAGCCGACAGAATCGGAGGGGTTGGTCTACCTGTTTAGAAAAAACGTGGTCCTCTACCCGAAAAAAAAAAAGGGATGGTGGGAGGGGGGGGGGGTTATTCAACCATTTTGCAAGGGTCATGGAGCAAAACCATGCAGGACCTACTTGCTTCTTTTTTCCCCCCCCCCCCCGCCCCCACGCCCTTTAACTCGAATGATCCCCACCTAAGACATACACCTGGGCGCCTCCCAAGCCTCACTCCCTTGAGCACAACTTGAAGCTTTAGGTCCTGCAGGCTCCAGTCGGGCAGGCCCGGGCTGGTCCGTCGCTTAAAATCTAAGCCCAAACCTGTCGGGGGGAAAAATATCGTGGTCGTGGTTGTCTTGTTGGCTGCCGTTACCAAAAAAAAAGGCGCAAAAAAGGGGCTCCAACAAAGACACACCCACAGATGCGCCCATCACTCCACCCCGTCCTCCATGCCAATGACCTCCGGCGCGCTCTCGAGCAGGTGCTTTGCCCCGGTGGCATAGGCGAATCGCCCCTCTGGTCGGTCGGTCGGCGGGCGGGGTTTCGAAACCGCAGCCAGTTGGGCGTGTCTTTCTTAGAGTCGCTTCACCGGAAACTATATCTTGATTATCTTCGGGCTTCTACTTTTCACACATCAAATGGTCCCCCTATTTACAGCTGCGACTGTTACCAGGCCTCTCCCTTCCTCCCTCCCTCTCCCTCTCCCTCTCCCTCTCCCTCTCCCTCTCCCTCTCTCTCTCTCTCTCTCTCTCTCTCTCTCTCTCTCTCTCTCTCTCTCTGGCTGGGTCTTCAATACTTGATGGCACCCGCAAGCACAGGCATGGTTCCATACAAGTGGCTGGACAAAAAGGAAACAGCTGCAATCTCGACGTTTTGCATCCTCTTTGCCATGTGCGGTCTGCTAAGGCTGAATGTGAAAAAGGGGTACTGACCTCCTCGCAGTCAGAAAACTCTCCTCTAAACAGCCATGCTGTACAGGCAGTTCGGCTAAAACTGTTCCTCTGCCAGTTCTGATTCCCCGACGTGTCCCGGCAAGAAACACCAACCGAGTCGAATGCAATGTCAGGATCTCAATATTACATCTGCATGCAGCATCATCAACAGCAAAAGTGATGGGCTGGGAAGGGACTAAGTAGGTACAGGGAAGCAGTTAAATTCAAGCTGTACGGAGTGACTGGCAACCACTCAAAACTCACCTTGGTCTTGTCGCGCCCTTCAAGAACCACCAACCTTGCCACTCTTGCCCTCCTCCTTCTCGCCGGTGAGAGCCTTGGTCGCCTCAACGGGCCCCGTCTGCTTCGCGGCTTCGATGCCTTCCTTCACCTTCTCTTTGGCGTCAGGCACATTGGGCTTCTCAGCTTGCCCACCGACCAGCTGGTGCTTGAAAGCCTCATAGCCGTGAACCATTTTCTCCTTCACACCGGATAGACCGCCTTGCACCTTGTCCATGAAAGTTGGGTCCTGCTTCTGTGTCTCGTCTGAAGGCTTCTCAGCCACTTGCTGCACCTTCTTCTTGGCAGCGGCGTAGCCCGCAGCCGCCTTCTCTTGTGCGGTCGCAAGGCCTTGCTCGATCTTCTCCTGCAGTCCGGGGTCCTCTGTTGTCATGGCAGCATCGTAGCCCTCAGCTGCCTTCTCTTGCAAGGTCGCAACGCCTTGCTCGATCTTCGCGTAGCCCTCAGCCGCCTTCTCTTGCGCGGTGCCAAGGCCTTGCTCGATCTTCTCCTGCAGTCCGGGGTCCTTCTCTTGCGCGGTCGCAACGCCTTGCTCGATCTTCTCCTGCAGTCCGGGGTCCTCTGTTGTCATGGCAGCATCGTAGCCCTCAGACACCTTCTCTTGCGCGGTCGCAACGCCTTGCTCGATCTTCTCCTGCAGTCCGGGGTCCTCTGTTGTCATGGCAGCATCGTAGCCCTCAGCCACCTTCTCTTGCGCGGTCGCAAGGCCTTGCTCGATCTTCTCCTGCAGTCCGGGGTCCTCTGTTGTCATGGCAGCATCGTAGCCCTCAGCCACCTTCTCTTGCGCGGTCGCAACGCCTTGCTCGATCTTCTCCTGCAGTCCGGGGTCCTCTGTTGTCATGGCAGCATCGTAGCCCTCAGCCGCCTTCTCTTGCGCGGTCGCAACGCCTTGCTCGATCTTCTCCTGCAGTCCGGGGTCCTCTGTTGTCATGGCAGCATCGTAGCCCTCAGCCACCTTCTCTTGCGCGGTCGCAACGCCTTGCTCGATTTTCTCCTGCAGTCCGGGGTCCTCTGTTGTCATGGCAGCATCGTAGCCCTCAGCCGCCTTCTCTTTCGCGGTCGCAAGGCCTTGCGCGATCTTCTCCTGCAGGCCTGCATCCTCGGCCTTGTCATCCTTGGTGTCCTTGCCACCCACTAGCTCCTTCGTGGCCTTGTAGCCCTCTGCAACTGTCTGCTGCGCTGCTGTCAGGCTCTGGCTCACTCTTTCCTGGAGGGGCCCCTGGCTGGACATAGTGCGAAAGGATGCGAGGAGGCTGTGCAAGCGATGGAAGGGCTTCCAGCATGAAACAATCAATCAAACAAAGCCACAAAAACATGACAAGCAATTCACCGGCCAAGAACAGCCAACCAACCAGCAAGCCAGCCAGCCAGCCAGCCAGCCAACCAACACTCACCTTGGCCCCCTGGAGTCCTGAGAGCTGAGTCCTGTTGCCCCTCAAAATGGCTTCGGTGTTTGGGTTTCCATTTAAAACCAACTTTAGAAAGGATGATGTTTGGACCCAAATAATATTTGGACCCGCACTCTCCAAGTGGCAAACATCCTCTAAGGCCACGAGCCACATGACAGGCTCCTTGCCCAAAGTAGCTGGAAATACGAGCTCACTAGGGTTTCCCCCCCGCCCACTTGGTGGACCTGAGAGAAGGTCCCTTCCAAGACATTCCCCTCAGGTTCCATGTGGATGGGAGGGAGGCTAGCTTGGGCGAAGACCCAGGTACTCAATCTGGCCGCGTCATAAACCCAAGGCTTCAAAGCTGAAAGCCCGCGCCTCGGGTGAAGCTGACACTGTCTCACACCTCGGACCGGCAGCGGAACGAAGGAAAATCACTTTAAAAGGACAAGCCTCGAATTACGATCAACAGGCCTGACATAGGTGTGTCTTTTATTGAGGACCCTGGAACGGATGAGGATTTGCAAGGAAGGGGACCTCCTGTCAGCTTCCGGGTAACCAGCTCACTTGGGGTACATCACAAGCTCACCATGGTGATGGTCCCTTGGGGATCACTGAATTCAGGTTTTGGGCATATTCCCAAAGTTGCAGATTCACTGCTTCTATGCATTTGTGCGTTGTGGCAATTGCAAGATATTCACCCACACCCTGCCACTCAACAAACACGTCGCTACCATGGTGGGCCTTCCGGAGCTTGACTGTCTGTGTAGATCTGACCCTTGGAAACCGGTTCGTGCTTTGGATTGGATTTCCACCCGAAGCATTTCGAGCCAAAGACTTTGGCTCGGTGTTCTTCGGCAGTGCAACTTGACTCCAGAAAATAGGTACCGGGTTCCTTGAGTATCCCGAGGGGCTATAAAGGCAAATGGATGTACCCCTACGGATGCTTTAAGATAATACTAGAGGAAACCAACCCGATGAATCGCGCCTCACTCGGTGATCCAAATTTGGTGCCCACAAAAGAAACCAGTCGGCTTGCCGTGCACTTGCACATCCAAGATGCCATTCACGTTAATACAGTGACCCCGGTATCAAAAAGCTCCTTTTGGATTCCAGCTTTGATAGGGGAACCCACCAACTACAACAAGATTGGGGGGTGTATTTTTTGAGGCTACCCTTTCTTGGGCTTGGAAAGCCGCCTTTCCCCCCCCCCCAAAAAAAAAAAACAACAACAACATGGGCACTGGGCACCCCCCAATACTTTTTTGAGCAGCTGAGGTCAGCCCTTCCGCACGCATGCACATTTTAATGACATGCGCGGCAGCCAATGTCTTTTCTCCACAAAGAGCTTGCTTCGATGAGCCGCGGCAAATGGGTGTGTCTCCAAATGGCGGAAATTTTATGGACAATCGCATCCCTTCCAAATGGTGGGGTTTCCCTCAAAAGGAACACTCGAATCCGGCAAGGAATCCTCGTCGGCAGTCTCAAATGTGGACAGATTCACCAAAACGAGCAGTGCAAACGCCCGCCCGACTGACGAAACGTTCTTGCCTTTTTCCCGCCTCTGGAAGGGGCTAAAGACCCGAATGACACCATGCTCTCCAATGACCATCTAACCTATTTGACATAGTGGGTCTTCTCATCCATCAATCCTTGAGTGTGACATCAAGTTCTTTGTCTCAAAATATGGAACCCCTAAAACATATTCAAATCAGTTGTCTCAAAAAAGGAGGAACCCCCAAACAAGTTGGGTTTCCTTGTGAATTCTTTCAAAATTCGACCAAAGGGGGACCCCCTAAAAAAAGACACACCCACATGTTTGACAGCTGGCCAGACACATCCAGTGAACTCACTGAGATTCGTTAGCGTCGAACCCGCCCCGCCCTTCTTAGCGGCGCGACGGCCGATGGAGCTGTACAGTGCGGTCCCCAGTCGATCCCAGTTGCAGGTTGTCAGGGAATGAGACATGGAATGACCAAAGTAAACCATTTTTTTTGGCTTCCTTTGCGGGAATCTCCTTCCGGATCATTCCCAACACCCGGAAGGTCATTCCCTACCTCGCGCACCAGCAGAAAGTCATCGCTTTTGTTGGCAAGTGGTTTACCAGGGACCCGCGGTTGAGGGAACAAATGCCTTACTCAAAGCCAGGTGCAACCCACTGTATGTAAGCAAAGATGTGTGTTTTGAGTTGTTGAATAGTTACCACCGGCAAATGGAATCACTGGGGCTGCGGTGTTGGAAAGCTGTCCGCCTTTTCCTCCAGAGCCGCGGGGGAAGAGTTGCTGCGTCGAGGGCCGAAGTCTCTCTCATGAAAGCAAGGGAACCTCTCACAAGATATCGGCATCTGTGAAGAGAAATAACAGGATCTTATCATTGTATGAACCACCTCAAACGTGCTTGGTGGACATGAATCCCAACCTAAATTTTAAACGATGTCCACCAACGGATCCCTGATCAAAGTTCATGCCCATATCTCACCAAGCGACATACTCATGAGCTTTGAAAGGAGCCTTCACTAAGGCTTGTCTGGGTGTAGCAAAATGCGCCCGAAATAGAAGGGATCCATATGAGATGAACCTTCGTCCAAGGTGATGCTGAGTCCCTTTGTGAACTCCCTTGCCTGAGGTCTTGCTTCTTCGGTCACCCCAGCTTCGCCACCTCTACTGGCTTTGGAGAAATGGAATCTTTCCATCACCGAGAGCCATCCGTCGCGTTGGTCAGGCCTGCCAGTCTCGAACAAACCGGCTGCGACTGGATGGTGGCCCAAGCGAAATGGTGCGGTGGACAAAATTTAGGTAGTTGCTGGATGTGTGGGTCCAAGCTCCTAACAAAAGAGCAGTAACTTAGTCAACGCGGCCGTTGAAAGTGTGTGTTTTTTTTTTTTTTTTGACGTACTCGTTTGGGGCCGGTTTAAAGAGAAGCCACAAGGAAAACCCACGTTTGTTTGGGTCCCCCCATTTTGACACATACCCAACACCCCCCAGAAGGGCATCACAATCCGCCCAATTAGTTTGTAGGGAATCCAAACGTGCTCTTGTTCTTGAAGCCAACTTTTGGGGGAAAGGGGAACTCCCAAATGGGTGGGTTCCTTTAAATTTCCGTTACCCCCCCCCCCCCCCCCCCCCGCGCAACCCGCACCACGACAACATCCCACACCCCCAACAGGTCCACGTACCTTGTAAAGCTGTTCCTGAAAGTACATAGTGGACCCTGTGGAACATGTATCCTAAGTGAGTAACAATCAGATAGCATACCCAGCCAATAGGTACACTTAGTATTTGGAAATTTCAACCAGGAGATAGGTAGGACAGTTAAAATTAGGGCAAGCCATGTGCTACCTGACTGCGAGTCAACTCCCTAAACGTGCCAATGTACTCAAACTTCCTATTGGTTGTTTCAAAAACACTGAAACACCTCCGCTTGCTTAAGCCCGGCAAAATATGTCCAGCGGTGATAAATTCCCGTCAAAGCCCAAAAGGGGAATAAGACAAATATCAAGCAGCTTCGAATCCCGAACCCTGGCAGCCCTCGAACCCTCGCTTCGGCCTTGCTTTTGCCCCAGCGGTTGCGCCGCCGGGGCTCGTCGCCAGTCTCCTGACGCGACATCTGGCGGCCAATTGGCGCTGAAATCGCCATCCACTTTGCTCGGTTGCTTTCTGCTCCCGTGCTAAAAGTGAATAACTGTTGGTGGCTTAATGGAAAACCCATTAGTTGGCAAAAAGTTAAAGTCTTAACATCCAGGCAAAATGCAACAAAGTTTGGTTCCTTTGAAAATCACAGCGCCCAGCTTATTGCTGTTTTTTGTGAAAGAAGATAAACCATGGTAGTTTCTGTGAGCCAGCTAGAATCTGCCGAGGTGAGCCCCAAGCTCGGCAAGGGAACCCTAAACCCCAGCCCGTCAGGCCTCACAAGACCCAAAGCCCAAAGCCTGAGCCTCACGCCAGGGCCAGGACAGGTGCAGTCCGACTGAGGGAAGACTGAGGTGCGGGCGAAGCCAGAGCAACCAGACAGATGAGTTCAGGCTGATGTGGCATTTTTCAGAACCAGGTTTGCAAGTGCTTCAGACCAAAAATTGGCGACCAGTTGTGCCTTCCCGAGAGCTTCTGTCTTGCTTGTTGGGCCGCTTGGCTGCGTCTCGTTGGTGCTCAGAGATGTGGCGACTTGGCTGTTGATTTGACTAGGTCCTCCAGTAGAGAGGATAGAATAAGGGTACCCTTTTTCTGTAGTCTATTTTAGTAGGGGAACCCTCCCCCAACAAGCACTACCGGGGGACCTAGTTGACGAGGCCACTACGCCTCATGTAGAAAGCACGCGAGCCTCGCGCGGGAAGAAGCGCGCAGCCGCTGAAGCCATGCTCAGCCACAAGACCCAGGATGAGGAAAATTGAGCGCGTAGATTTGGTTGGGCAATCTTCGACCCACGCTCTCAGCGGGTTTTCAGCTGCAAAATACGCCATGTAGTTGGATCTTGGACTGATCAGATGATGGTTCCCTGCAAGAGCTTGCTTGGTCCCTCGAAGCATGGGAGTGCCCCGCATGAAGGGAATCTCCACCAATCAGGAAGCGTTATTTCGGGAACAGCTGCTACTGACTGGGGGTCAACGCTGCCTTGGTTCCATTTTGGTTTGACTGATGTCGCATCAACCAGCTGTGGCCAAGCAAATTTCTTAGGTGGGGATTGTTCGAAGCACGAAGTACTTGGCGTGCTTGAGGGAAAAGCAAAAGGAAAACCATCATGTTCGTGGCTCCCAACAAAAGACACACCCATTTGCACACTCGCAAGCTCGCAGGTTCGACGAACAAGTCGGCTTCTTGGCTGCCACGCGGCTTTCGCCGGATGCTCGGCCGTGACGTTCGGCGAGCCAGCAGCTGCCTGTGGATGGCAGGACAAATTCCGCGCCGACCGGCAGCAAATGGGATTGGTGGCTTATCCACAAGTATTGAAATCAGGCGTCTCCATCCCAACCGGTGCGCTTTGCAGAGTTTGTCCATCCACCATTACTTCAGAGCCGAGGGGATTTCGAGAGTCATTCTACATTCCACGACTGACCGTTGACACACCCCGTGGTTCCAGTTGCCGCAGTAGACAACCACCAAGGTGTCCGTCCACATTGTATATGCCCAGCCGGACATATATCTGCATTTCTTACAATCATTCCAAAAGCTGAAATCAGGGATCTTCAAATTAATAGAACCTCTCACTTCTTGAGCGGATTGGCCCCCTGAGTCCAAATTTCGGCTAAAAAACTTCCAAACCCCCCAAATTGCCAAAGTCCGGAACTCGGACTGTGGAGTGACATGGGTTTTCAAACACCACTGAATAAAAGAACACTCAGCCTCCTGGAGATTCTTCCGTCGCCCTTGTCTGCCGGCCAAGGAGCGACTTCACACGCGGGCGAAGAAATCGCCTGCCGGGAAGGAAGCTGCCACACAACCGTCCTTCTGTTTCCCTAGGGTGTTTGGTGGTTTTCTAGAAAGAAGGATCCCTGGAAAGAATGGGGAAGTTACCCCTAGAATGTCCGACTCCTCTGGGGTCTAACTCACAGCCAAAAAGGAATATTAACCTCGGTTCTTTCTGCTCCCCTGCTAAAAGTTTATATTTTAGTGGTTTAATGGAAAACCCACTAGTTGACAAAAAGTTTAAGTCCTAACCTCCAAGCAAAATGCAACAAAGTAACAGGGGCTTCAAGATTTGCGGGTTGGAAGTGGGTATGAATTCGCACGGTCACAATAATCTCCAAAAGGCTGCTGGACAACAAACCGCTAAACTCAGTTCCTGAGTGGTTGGCCAAGGCAACCCAAACTTTATGTTTTGTTTGACATTCGGCCCTTTGATGATTTGCGCTGCTACGGATTGGAATGTGAGTGGTCTGAGGGCCTGATCGACAGATTGTCTTGCATGGTGCTTGTCTTCACTGTTGTTGGCATGTTTTTAGTTTTCGTTTTTGTTCCCCAACAGCTGAAAGCGTTGGGGTCTCAGCCCAGATAGGCTCCGGGGCGGTCCGGGGCGGGCCTGAGGTGAGGTTCCACGAGGGTTCCACCAGGGTTCCACCAGGGTTCCACGAGGGTTCCACGAGGTGCTGTTCGGGATGTCACCTGAGCTTATTTCGGTTCCAATCATTTTGGCAGGGAGCTGCAACAACAATATTTTTCATACCAAGGGCTGCAAGATTGAGTGCATTTCGGTTGCTCCCATCGACGTGCATAGGCAAATGTCTGACTTGAAAGCCTCAGATGCCCACTGGAGATGAGAAAAAAGGGCATCCTTTGTTGGCTGAGCTTACAGGGGAACCCTTCTCCCCCCAAAAAAGTTGAAGAACGGAACGGGCGGGAATCCGCTGGTTGCAACGAAGCAGCCCAAGGGGTGTCTGTGCACGTCCGCAAGCCAAGAACCTGCCAGCCGAATGAATCCCGGGCCCAAGACACCCCATCCGGGTCGACATCTTCTTTCGGTTAGGATATGGACGCCCCAAAACGGGATTTCGGCTTTCTTTTTGGTTTCCCTGGTAAAAACCAACCAACAGGGCGTTCCCTTAAAAACAGACCGACCCATCTGAAGCAGCCCCAGGTATAGCTTAAGACTGAAAGTTCAACGGGTCTCAAGAAACCGCCCCCGGTCGCCAGCATCCGACTGGAACCCATATTAACCGGGTCACAGGGTAATTATTCCATTGGCGTGTTCTCAAGATTACGTGACCCAGGTTGAGACCCCTAGAAATAAACCATCCATCCTATGGTGTCCTTTCAGGGAATCCCAAAACGGTTCATTCCAATTGCTCACGACGGTTACCTCTGTTTGTCCCCGCCTTCGGCGCCGAAACTGGTGCCGGGGCTGAAACCTTCGCGGACTGAACCACGGCGCCGGGCAGGATGTGCCTAAGGGAGGTGGGGGGGATTTTCTGGACGTCTGAGGTCATGGCATCCATCTTTGTGTTGTTCAAGCTGTCATACTTAGATGTGAACATGGGAACATCAGCTTGTTGCTGGTGAGTTGTCCGAACAGCGAAAGGTTGGTTCTAACAGGTCAATGCTCAAGTTGAACGTGCGCCAGTTCCTGGTTGCTCTTCCAACGCATCAACGGTTTTGCCGACAAAGCAACCTGAAAACTTGCTCAGCATGGAATGAGAAATAGAACGACCCCGAAAGAAACCATCCAACTGGCGGTTCTTCCTTTCTTCGGGAATCCCAAAACGGTTCATTCCAATTCTCATTCCCTGCTTGGATTTCTCCACCGCTCACGTCCAGGTGGGTTCCATCCTTCTGGGCGGGGAGCAGCAGTAAATGACCCCTATAAACCATCCCTTGTGGTTTCCTTGAAGAGAATCCCCAGGTCCATTCCCTCAGTTCCCGCTGAGCAGCAGCAAGAAAACTCGGTTGTTTTGCTCCCCTGCTAGCAGTTCAACTTTCAGTGGTTTAATGGAAAACAAATGAGTTGGCAAAAAAGTTAAAGTCCTAACATCCAAGCAAAATGCACCAAAGAGAAGAGGAACTCTACAGGAATTTGCGCCTTGCAATAGGTGGCCTTTCGGAAAAATCGATGGCCTTGGTAAATGGAATAAAAACCATCTAAAGCAGCGCCATTTATTTTTACCCACACTAACCTAAAAAGGACACCTATGAGTCTCGCCGGTAGATCCGTCCACCGCCAAGTTGCATCACCCGCACTCCGCCGAAGGCTCCGGAGAGCAACAGCTCAGCCACCTAGGATGCGACTTGGACGGGAGTTACTCTCCGGAGTTTTTGATATGGAAGGGAGAAACAAACATATCTTCCAAAATGAGTTCCTGTACAAATGAGACAATCAAAACCTGGTATAATAGTAATTAATAACATGCTCTACCCAGAACCATGTAAAGAATTAAAAAGGCGGCTGCACCCATTTTTGGTTGGGATTGTCCCTTGCTAACCTTCATCTACCCTGGCTTTGATTGTGGCTCGACTGACTTGCCTTCCAGTTTGTAGGTTGCAAGCTAAGGCAAGTTCCATTCCAGTCCTTCTCTACCCGTTTGCAGGTTGGATTCCAGTGGAACCAGGAGAGGAGAACTTATGTTGACAACCCAAAAGGGGCACCGGGGGTGGTGAAACCACCCCCCGTTTCGCCCGCCGTCCGATTCCTCGCCTCCGCGCGCGCGCTGCCCGGCTTGTCCTCCTGCTGTGCCACCGCATAGGCGGCCGGGCCCTTCTCCCGCGCGGCCTGGTGCTGATGAACCCAATGAGGCCCCTGCAAACCAGAGATGGGCACTGTAACCAGGGCACTCCAACTACTTTGCCGTAATGGTTGACGTGGAAGGAAAGCAACAATTCTCAAAAAAAATAGCAGTTAAGTGGATGTGGATTTCCACCACTAAACCAGAATAAGCAAAAATGTAAAATGCTTCCCAACAACAACCATGTAAGGTTCCATAATTTGGTGGGAGGGTGTGGTTGGTTTACTTGCAATATTTGGGGATCCACCGTAGGCGCTGTGGGAGGTTGACCCCTTCAAAGGTTGAGCCTCAAAACCAGAGGGAGGTTGACTCCTGGGAGATGTTCGGGTGTGGACAAAATCCTGAGCCTGTTGGTAGGTGGTTAACCAGCATTCATTGGGTTTCATGCATCACAACTGGTGCACTCGCAGTAGGACTAGGACTTGCCATAGCTTGCCCAGACCATGCGGACAATCGTCCCACCAAAAGGATACCCACTAGTTACAACCCACTTGGCGGACTTCTGACAAAGGTGAGTGGGTTGCGACCAGGGCGGACAAAGCAGTAAATACGTAAGTACCCTGCCTCCTTACATACTGCTCTGCAAGTCAGCCCCCAAAATGTTGCTTGAGTGCTCAGACGAGCTGGCAAATCGCGCCGGCGGGCCCTAAAGAAACCTCACAATTGGAAATAGCCGGCAGAGCCCTAGGGCATGTGAGTAAAAAGCTGGGCTGTTTTGCAGCCCAACAACGACAACAAACAGAACCCAACAACTAAACGACATGCCAAGAACAGTAAAGTTGGCAATTTGAAATGCAGAGAACCCACATGACCGCTTTCCATGATACCGACTGACAAGGGAGGATCTGAAAGAATGCAAACACCATGGATTCCTTTATAAAACCTCAACCAACGTGGGCTTTCCAAAGCTCAGGTGGGTGGGGGCGTGTCTCAAAACCTGCGACCCTAGTGTTTTGCGGGGGCATTCTTTTTGAGTGTCTTTTTTTAGGTTGGACCCCCCGAAACTGTCTTTGTTCCCTTTGGTTTCTGTCTAAATCAACCCCAAACTGGGCTGTCCTCATATCCCCCGCTACAAGTTCAGCTTTTGGTGGGTCAAATGAGGAAATCCAACCACTCAACGCTAAAAACAGATCTAAACAGCTAAGGGACCGGATGCCTGGGAACCACCAAAATGAACAACAGACGCGCCCTCGATCCGCGAGCCCTCGATCCGCAGGCGCTCGACCTCGAGGAAGCGGCGCAGCACTTCTTGGCCTTCCTCACTCCTGGCCGCCGACCAGTTGGGCGGTGGTGCCGAATGTATCGAATTGGGCATGGGTCAAAATCCACATCGTAGCCCAAGTGAACATCCCAATCCAACCACTAAAACAGACTAAAATGGGTGGTGCACCTACCCCAAAATGGGATACCATTGGTTTTGACCCACAGCCAATTTGAGCCTTGGAGAGATGGGTGTGTGTCTTTTTGTTTGGTTGGATCCCCCAAAATGGCTCGGTGTTCCTGGAGGTTTCCCTTTTAAAGCCACACAAAGGGGCACCCTCAAAAACTGTTTGATAGCTCGAGGTTCCAAACATGGGGGCTTTTGGTCGAGGCTCTGGATTGGGTCCGGACTCAGAGGGAAAGGCACCGAACTTTACAGGCAAAAACTGGTAATCTCTGGTATGGCAGGTAGGAGCCTCCCCAAACCCTGCCGGATGTAGGAGCAGAATGCAATACAGGGTTTGGCTCTTGACCAATGGAATCTCTCTCTTGCCCATTCAAGCCCAGATTCAAAAGGGCCTGGTTTGGCGTGACAACCCCCACTTTGCTTGATCTTCTTCGGCCGCGTGCAGGGGGTGTATCTTTAACATGTTACTCACCTTTGTCATGCTGGGGGGGAACACTTATTTTCAAAAACCATTTCAAGGTTAAAGAATCGACCAAAGAGCAACCAAAACCAAGGTCTTCATTTGGTCCTGCTTGGGCGGACACTTGGGGCTGTCTCAAAATTTGGGTATTCCCAAAAATTGGGTCATCTCGTCTTGTTGCTCCTTTAAACCAACCCAAGCAGGGGTAGTCTCAACAGGGACACACCCCACTTCAGCGATTCCGGAATCTGGGGCCATGGTGTGCGAGGATTTGAGGCTTGCTGCGAGGTTCAGTGAATGTTGATAGCCACTTAGCTAACTCTCAGCCCGTCTACCACCCTAATTACCACCGCATTTCACCATGGAGGTGAAAACGGGAAAAAGAAGAAGAAACAAAAGAAAAAAACGTGTGCTGTTCAAGCAGTAGCCGGGTGTGTGTGTTTTTTGGGGGGGTGGCTGGGTGTGTTGTTTCTTCCTTTTGCGAGGGTAGCTGGGTGTGTCGTTTCTTTTTTGGGGAGGGTAGCTGGGTGTGTCGTTCTTTTTTTTGGAAGGGTAGCTGGGTGTGTCGTTTCGTTTTGTTCCCCAACAGCTGAAAGCTTTGGGGTCTCAGCCCAGATAGGCTCCGGGGTGGTCCGGGGCGGCCCTGAGGTAAGGTTCCACAAGGGTTCCACCAGTGTCACCAGGGTTCCACCAGGGTTCCACAAGGGTTCCACCAGGATTCCACAAGGGTTCCACCAGGATTCCACGAGGGTTCCACCAGGGTTCCACGAGGTTCTGCGAGGCTGCGGGGTGGTGCGGGGTGGTGCGAGCACCAAAAATTAGCACCTCATGCTATTGGGGATATCACCTGAGCTCTGTATCGTTTTTTTGGAGGGTACCCTTCTGTTGGGTCCCGATGGGCTTCAACGAAGAAGCCCAAGGCTTGGTTGCAGTTGACCGCCCTGCAAAAAGTATAACTGTTGGGGGGTTTAGTGGAACACCCCTTGATTTCCCAAGAAGTTAAAGCTCAGTTGTTCAGTGACCCTGGAAAAAATCAGGGACCCTTTTTGGGGAAGACCATTTTTAGTGGGGCGGCCACCAAAGAAAAAGGGAAAAAGGGTGCCACTGAACACTGAGAAAGTCTAAAGATCCAACCCAATAGCAGTCAAGAAAGGAAGCCGACCGGACCCAGACGCGAACATCCCGGGCACTCCTGAGGTGGCCCTGCAGACCCCCAGCCTCGCGCCGGCCCAAAGGGTAGCTGCCTGACACCGAGGGGAGCGGCGTGGTGTACAGCTCTCGGTTGCTGTGTGCTCCCCTAAAAGTGAACAACAGTTCGTGGCTTAATTCGGAAAACCCGCTGGCAACGGCAAAAAGTTGAAGTCCTAACATCCGAGCAAAATGCAACAAAGAACCATTGAACTATGCATAGCGGACACCCTCCTAGGGATGCTACTGTTAGGTAGGTTAAAAGATCCTGTTCCAAAAGCCACTATATATTCTGAATATCGTGGGGATGATCCCTTTTCCAAAAGGGATACTGCTAGGTGGATCAAAACAAAATCCTTTGTTGGGTTCCTCGGTGCACGTTGTGTTGGGTTAGATTTAGGGATTCAGAGGGTTCTTGGGAGATGGGGCAGCTCCTTTCGGGCTCCTTATGTTTAAAGGTTACCCATTGGTGAATGCAGTCATCCCCTTTTCTTCCTGGTTCTCAGCTGGCAATGACAAATGGAATGACCCCTATAAAATCCCGACCTCCTTTTGGGGAATCCCCAAGCGGTTCATTCCCAACAGCCGGAACATGACTCCCTACCTATCGCACCAGCCGCAGATTCAACGAGCTCGCCCTTCCCGGAATCAGCCAATCAGCCTAATTATCAGCCAATCAGCCACTCGACCCCACATCCCTGAACCACACATCGGGGGGAATCAAACACTTGAGCTTGATGTTCTCTTTGGAAAACTGGGCTGCGAGCTCTTTCCCAGGTGTATTGCCAGCGTGCAAAAGAAGACCTGAAAGAAATCTGGGCACTACTTTTTGTTCGGGTTCAACTTTGGTGGACATCTTTTAGGTGGGGATTTCTTCTCCACCAACCACTTTCGAGGTCGTTCGCTGTTAGAACTCACTCCAAATGCCTCTTTGCCAACGAGTCACGGTATGCAATGGACCGCGCTGCACAGCCGCGGCGCAGCAAAGGCACCTCCGAGGGAGGTTGACATGGGTTGACATGTGTGTGTGTGTGTGTGTGTTTGTATATTTTAGGGAACCTCCCCAAACTGGTGTTTGGTTTTCCTCTCGTGTTCGGTTTGAAACCAGGAAAAAGGGGAAGACACATGAAAGTAACTAAGTGTTTGGACGGGTCCGACTGGGATAGAACGTGGTGAATCCGCGTTCCTGTGATACTGAACCGTCCTATGAGAACTTATCAACGTGATCTTTGCCTTTCAAAGGGATGTGGCGCTTGATTGCCACGAATCAACACTTTTCACATTTCAAGGCAAACTGATTCGGTGAAGCCACCCTTTTGCGGTTTATTTTCAAGGGAACCTTCCCAATATAAAGCGGGTCCAAGAAACGAATTGCTACCTGGCCCGTTGATTCTTTTGTGCTTGCAAATTGCTAAACTCAGATGCCAGTGGGCATCCTTTCTGGTTGGTTGAGCTTAATAGGGAACCCTTCCCCCAAAAAAAGTCGAAAAGGGGGCGGAATCCACCGGGCAACTGGGTAAACATGATTTGGCCAACGCAAATTGCCAGCCCCCTGCCTCAGACCAGTCGCCCTCCCGGGGCAGAGGGAAGCGAAGGTCCCAGAGGGTGGCGATGCCATTGTCCGTGAGCCTTACGAAACTCGGGGGTCGGGGGGTGTTTGGAGCTGCTGAAATTGGTTTGCAGGTAGCTCGGGCGAAGTATTGGTATACTCCTGACAAGTTCATGACTAAATTTGGGGTCTAGCCTTACTCTGGCTGTTTAGGCCCTTCCGTCGTTGTGCCGAGTGTCGTAGCAACCCGTTTAACATTGGTTTCGATGGATTTCCCAAAGACCCAACCTTTGCAAGGCTTTTCAGAGGCAGTGGGGCAAGATGGGCACTAACTTGAATGGGTCCCGGACCCTTTGGCGGACATCAAATTCGGTGGGAATTCACGTCCACCAACACTTGAGAGTGTACTCCTCAATCAAAAAATCTTAGTCAACTCCTGGGAGCTGGTGCATTAACCAACAAAGGTTACCATGGAGTCAATATGATGTGACCCCAACAGATTCAGCGGCGATGATGAACCGGTTAGACATGTGGCAGGCTGGTCCCTCATGGTCAAAGCTGTTGTTCCCGCAATGGACAAATGGACATGGACAAATTGTGTGAGTCGCTGAAATTCAATGAGCCGCCAAAAAAGGCCGAACCCCACCATGTGATGTCATAACCTAGAGGTACTCCAAAACGGGGTGGGATTCGGAGAGGGTTCCTCTTGGCTTCCCTTCAAACCTACCCGGAAAGAGTACCCTCAAAGAACAGAAAGGCTTGCAGCTTGCGTGGAAGCCCCAGGTTTCCCTTTAAACCAAGCCGAAAAGGATCTTCCCAGAAAGATACACACCCAAATGCCAAATGCTCCCAACAAGCGGCGGGTCTTCCTTTTGGTCTCCCATGACCAGTCTCAAATTTAGGGGCTCTCAAACCTAGGCAAGTGTCTGTTGCCTGATTCCCTGCAAGTTTCACTTAGTTAGATGAAACCGATTCACCACGAAACTGAACACCTTTGAACACTAAGTTAAACCTTAGCTGGTTGAGCGGATTCCTAGCTAACTAACTAAAAAACCTTTCATGAAGCGGACGATTCGCTGGGAACCGCCAAGAAACATCCTAGCCTTCGCTCGACTTGCTTCTAGAAATCCAAGCAAGTGGTTCCCAAAAAAGGACATGCCGGGGCAAACAGTTGACCTGTTTGATGGTGAAAGGGAAAATGCATGCACCCCAAAAGGGCAGCGCAAGAGGTCAGTCTGGCAATGAGTGCAGGTATGACCGGACACTCGCTGTCCCAAAGGACATGCAAAACAAGTCCGCGAGTCTCACCTGCGGGTTGCTCCCTCCGTTGTGTGTTGTTTGTTTTTTTGGACTAAAGCAAAAAACAACAGTTTCAAAACGAACCAAGGCATGTAGACAACCCTTATACCAGACCAGAACCTGGAAAACAACCTGGAAATCACGCGTCTCGACAGGAGTATCATATCGATGAAGGGATGGCTGGGAGCCACCAAGCTACCCCCAGTTCCTTTGTCCAATTTGACCAAAGCGGCCCTTTGAAGAAGTCCTTCTCCTCCACCCGCTCCTCACCGTAGCCGCTGTGCCCGCCCGTGGCAGCTGAGAAGATCGTCAGCTCCGATACCACCTCCACCGGCTTGGGACCTGGGAGGGCTTTCTGCTCCCCTGCTATATATAAGTGACTGATTTTTAGTGGTTTAATTCGGAAAACCCATTAGTAACGGCAAAAGGTTGAAGTCCTAACATCCAAGCAACATGCGCCAAAGTAGACTACATTTAACTGTATATGGGTGTGTATACGTTTTTTTTTTTTATGGGACCACCCAAAGTGGCGCTTTTCCTTTAGTTTCCCTTGAAAGCCAAAAAGAAAGGAGTACCCTCCAAAAACACACACCCATTTATGAGTCTGCAATCAAAAGCCAGCCAGTAATTCCGAACACCCCTTCACCCTTCAGAGTCACAAGTACAGCATTTCTGCTGCCATATACGTACATAGGTTGCTGGAACAGGAAACTTGTCTCCTCGTTCATGTGTTCATTCATTCACGCATGCGTGCATGCATTCATTCATCCGCTCATCCATCCATCCATCCATCCATCCATCCATCCATCCATCCATCCATCCATCCATCCATCCATCCATCCATCCATCCATCCATCCATCCATCCATCCATCCATCCATGTCAGTCCATTCCTTTCCGTTCTGTGCCATTCCATTCCATTCGACTTCAGCAATGTCTTCCATGCATCAATTATATTTCATTATCTTCCCTCCTTTCCCTTCCATGTTTATTGCAGGAAAAACCCATTCTATCCGAACCCCTGGCGACTTAAATTGTGAAGGGCCTGTGGAGGGTGAGGGCTGTGAGGGCCTGCGAAACCCCCGACTTGTTGGGTTTCATGTGAGGTCTGCAAAGCCCCTCCTTCCATTGCAACTAGAGAGGTTCGAATAAGGCGACCCTTTGTCCTATAGTCAATTTTAGTGGGGGGAACCCTCCCCAAAAAAGCAAAAAAGGAGTTAGAAAGGGCACTACTGGGGGACCAGGCAACTACCCACAACACAAGGACCAGGTGTCCATGGACGTGAGGCCCTCTTCAAAGAAAGTCGACCGCCAAAAGGTCGATGCGCTTCCACGGTGGAATTCTCTTTGGGGGGGGGAGGTTTCCTCCAAAATTATGTTGCTCCATATGTATGTAGATATGTATATATATATGGGTAGGCTGAGGGGAAACGTAAAGAAGCAACTCGAGCCCTGGCTCGCTCGAGGCTCCACGTGTGATTTGCTGAGTGAGGCACTGAGAGAACCAATCCACGTCATGGAATCTTCCAGGGGGGCTATGGGGGGTGCTATCCTTGGATAAGCCCAGGATAACCCAAGGATAAGCCCTTAATGAGGCCTTATTCAGGGCTTAATAAGGGACGGTAGCCCCTCTGGTCAATACTCAACGCATGCCGAGCTGCCGTCAAATTTGAGGCCCGAGTTGGGGCTGCTGAGTAGCTGCCTGCGGCGGGGAAGGGCCGCAATCAAATGCTTCAATGGTTTGTGCAAAAAAACTATAACTCACTTGGCCAGTGACCAGCCCAAAAAAGTGTACACTTTTTGGGCCACCACTAGTAAAAAGGGAGAGCCACCAAGAAAAGAAGTATAAAGTGTATCCACTGGCTGGGTGAGATAACTCACAACCGAACATAAGGAAGCCCCAAGTGAGCCATAGACAAAACGCGGTACAAAAATAGTTTACCCAGAACCATGTAAAGAGTTAACTAGTTGGAATTGTCCCTTACTGACCTTCATCTACCCGGGTTTTGAGTGTGGCTCAAGGAACCTTAATAATGTGCGAGCTCGTTTTGTTTGCCCAGAATGGCGACCAGGAGATAGCAAAGTGAGAGCTGTTCAAAAAGAAGTACCCGGTCATTTATCTTCCTTAAAGAGGGTCACAAAAAGGGCCAACAAATTCAGCTTGCATCTATTGGTGGTTTGGATTGGTGGTTTGGTGGTTAAGGAGGGGTTTCTCATTGACCCTCTACAAAATCCAGGGTTCAAATGCCCAAACCACCAACCCAAGCTACCAATTAAGGATTACCTGACAAATGGCATCCAGGTTTTGAACAACCCGGTGGTTAAAAGCTCCCCGTGCCCCCCAGCTTGCAAGTTGACCAACCACGCATGATGGTAAACATGGCCCAACCTAGGCCCCAAAAAAGCTGCCAATCTGACTGACACAAGCTCCAAAAATGAAAGTACCGTTTGGGTTGCTTCAAAGGGCCCCTAGAAAACCGGGAACCTTGAGGAACCCTTGGACTCTTAACTACCCACCCCGCGATGGTGCCTACCCCGACTTCCATTTGGTTGAGGCCCCAGGAAAAACTGAAAATATGTCCAGTCGTGATGAATTATTGTTAAACCCAACAAGGGAAAATAAGAAATGGTCTTAAGCAAATGGAGGCTGACTGGTTGGCGATTCGCGAATCGCCTCTTGGCGAGGGTGGGATCCAGCGCTTGGCTCAAGGCGTGCGCTGCGTCCTGCGCCCCACAGTCGCAGGGCCTCGCAAGAAGCGAAGCGGGCGCTGGGAGCGGGAAGCGCTTCGTCCCAAAAATGCATCGGTTTTGGATGGAACCAAAAGGACCCCCATGAAACAAGCAAATGTATTTTACCGGAAACCGAAACGAAGCCTTTCTTTTTGTATGGTTGAGGGACGCTCTGGTTGAATGCTTGGACACGAATTGAATGCCCGATTTCTTTACAGCTCTACGTTTGGCAACACGTTGGAGCGTCTCCAACCCGCTAAACACCTCTTTGCTAAATGGATTGACAGCTTGGGTGTCCACGCAATCTGAAGATTCGAATCATGCCTGGAATCGTTGATCTTCACAGCCGCTTGTGGTTGCAATGCACTTGGGCCATGTTCTTTGAAGGGAATCACTTTTGAAGTGGCAATTAAGGCAAATATGGGGATGGGAATTTGGAATGAACCGCGCTTTGGTTTCGCAGGGGGCAGTTCAAGGTTGCCTATATTTCCCCCTGGTTTCAACATCATGGGATGCCACTTCATAGCGAGCTTCCGTTTTCATAATATGTTTTAACTGGCAACTGTCCTTTGGTGGGCCAACTAACTCCTTCAGGTACTCCTGTGCAGATGAACTTAAAGAAACCCCAAAACTTACAAAAAGTAGTTGGCATGAGAGTGGTTAGTGGCCCTGGTTGCAAGCCACTTATTGCTTTGTACGTCCGTTACTTGAGCTCTCACCAGCTCCACTGGCTGAGTGGACAGCCCAAAAAAGTCCAAGCTCTATATTTTACCGCTAAGTTGGTCTTCCCAAAAACCTGAAAGTCATGAACTCAGGAGGCTGTGGGTCAAAACCCCGTACCCCTGGTGGTACATGGGTGTTCATCCGCCCCAAAATGCAGGCATAGTTTATGACCCATGGCCAAGTGCGCCAGGGCTACGAGCACTTCTTCAGTACGCTGCGGCATGCAAGTTGGATCTTTGCTCGTGACACCGAGGCGCATGGTCTGCTCCACCTTTGTCTGGCCCCACAGCAGGGAGGCCTGCCGGCGTGCGATGCCAAGGTTTACATGTTGTTTATTTGCTCAAGCCCTATGAAAAAACAAACATATTGGCAGTAGTGATAGATTCCCTTTAAAACTAACTGGGGAAAAATAGTAAAAACATATATATATTCTTAAGCAAATGGAAGTTTACACTTGGTTTAGGTAGACTCGGGCTTGAGGTGAAACGCAAACTCAACAATCCACAAGCTTGTGGATGATACATGTCAAATTCAGCCGCGCTTATGTCTTGCACGGATTGAATGGTTCAGCCATTTTCGCAGGCAAAACAATCCACAAGTGTGTGCCCCATCCCGACAAGAATGCTCATCCACGTTTTGGCCATACTCCAATACATCTTCAGTTCCCCAACACACACACACACAGGAATTGCGATACTGTGGAGGGACGAAATCCAATTCGCACCACCCTAACAAACCCTGGAATGAATGATTCCACTGAAAATACCAACAAACAAATGGCTTCCCATGGTTTCTTAGGTGGTGCAGGATTTTGTCCACCCACAGTATCAATGGAGAAAGGGGAACGCTGTAGACGAATGCCCAAACACTGGAAGGAAGTGACGCTTGAAGCTCAGCAACACGTCAGAAGCCTGTCAACCATTTACTCCCCTGCAGAAACACGGAAACCAAAAAAGGGTCACAATTTCCCAAATCCTTGACAACCAAAACAACATGTGAGTCGGAATCGCTTCTCAAAAAAAAGTTCCCCCCCCCCCCAAATTAAAGAATCCTGGGAGGGAGTTTTATTGTTAGGGGTCGCCGGTTTGGGCCTAGATCCAATTTGATAGTTTGCTGTTTAGTATTGGACTTGTGTTGGAAAGTGGATCTCAATTGATTTGGAGCAACAACTGCACAGAGTGCAACTTTTAAGTAAGAACTTCGAAAGGGAGTGTCTCATGGTCCGTTTGAAAGGCAGGCAGCGGAGGGAGCAGCGGAGGGAGACACTTAACGGACACCCACCTGGACCCTAATAATAAAACCCTTTCTCGCAGGGCAGACCCTAATAGTAATGTGTTTGGAGGAACCCTTTTGATTTGAGGACTCCTGAAGGACCCATAATGAGGCTGTTCCTGGTTTGATAGAGCCCTAACTTCCCTAATAAAAAAAGCTTTGCCTTGGGTGTCAAAGAAAACGTGGAGCCTTCTTGTTTCAACACACTCTGGAGAGGGGGGGGGGGGGCCTAATAAGCATATTGTGGGAGCTTGGTGGAAAGCATGTGTAGTCTCAGGAGTTTAGTATTGGTTCAGTATTGGCCAATTTAAATTTAGTATTGCCGATTTTTTGCCGCGGCTTGGGGGAGTTTTATTATTAGGGGTAGGTTGATCAATAGGAAGAAGGGGCGGCCGCAGCTGTTTCTGGTTGAAAGACTTTCACAGCCATGCGAAACCCCAAACAAACATCCAGGCCTCGGGCGACCTGCCTCCCCGAAGAAATGCAAGTGTCCTTTTGGATTCCTGGAAAACCGCCCAGCACCAGCCACATATATGTCCATCAAACTTATCTCAACATGGCGCAAAAGGTATTGTCGAAATCATCCACAAGGACAAATGGCCATGGGTCAAAACCCCGTACCCCCAGTGAACATCCCAATCCCCACTCAAATAGACTCAAATGGGTGGTGCACCTGCCCCAAAATGGGATCCTATTGGTTTTGACCCACAGCCATATAAATACAGTGTGACATACAAATCTAGGCTGGAATTAGGACCCCACCAAATATATATATATATATATATATCTATATATATATATATCTTTTTTGCCTGGTGCGTGCAAAACAAAGCTCCAGCCCCAACAAAGAAAAAGAAACAAAAAGAAAAAGGGCGCCAAGTCCGGGGAAGCAAAAAGTGTGTGTGTGTGTGTCAAACTACGAGGCCCGGGCCCGGACAAAATGGCGGATTCCTTCTGGCCACCGAGCCTCAGAAAACCCACCCAGCCCATAGGCCACTTCCATTTGAAGCCTTCTTTCCGGAAAACCTGCGGGAAAAATTCGGGGAAAACGGGCAGGTGTTGAAAGGAACGATTGAAAAGGATGGAAAAGGAATCAACTGGAAGAGCATGAAGAATCTTGCTGGATCTGTGACACTTCGCTCGCCTTGAAGCCCTTGTCCATGCCGCTGGTCAGCATGCGCGCCTTAGGCCGGGTTTGCCCATTTGCCCTGAACGAATGGGTTGGAGAAACCAAAGGGATCAGAGTCTCAGAGACGCGGCTTCGTCTCCCCACAAAAAGTTATGTTTCCTCCGAGAAAGACAGGTAACCAGAAGGAACTAATATTAAAATGTGATTAGGATCTGAATTATAATTTCAACCATGTTCGAAAAGCAAACATCGATTTTCCTCAACACTTGCTGGTTCTCAGCAGGGAAAAAGGGAAGGAGGGAATGACCCCTGTAAGCCATCCCCTATGGTTGCCTTTAAGGGAATCCCTGGGTTCATTCCCAAAACCCTAAGTCATTCCCGACTGAGCACAAGCAACAAAGGAGGAAGTGAAGGAGGACACCACACTGAAATGTTCTCACTTCCAACCAATACACCGGGGACCACAACCTGGAAAACAACCTGGAAAACAACCTGGAAAACAACCTGGAAAACACGCGTCTCAACATGAGTGTCATATAGATAAACCCCTTTGCAGGTCAGCCCCCTGGTGGGAATCCCTTGGCAAAATCACAGGAAGTCCTCAGAGGCTTGTGCAAAGGGGGTTGCGTAATTTTGCAACCAAGACCCCGGGGTGACCAAAAAGCCTCTAAAACTTGCCAACCCAACAGGCCATGGGTCAACATCCCATATCCCCAGTGAACATCCCAATCCACACTAGAATCGACTAAAATGGGTGGTGCACCTACCCCAAAATGGGATCCCAGTGGTGTTGACCCACAGCCAACAGTGAATGTGTGAACGCCGGATCTTCGCCGCTCTTGACACCTTTCTCTAAAGCCAGCCACGCTGCTGCTACTTCCCAGCCCCTCAGGATTTCAGCGCTATGTGGCCCTTGGTTGGGATCCGAGGCAGTTCGGTCTGAAGGGTCCACCACTTCAGCCTGCCAAAGAAAGCCCTGAAATCTTCTGGTGCAACCGAAGGGCCATCTTGGTTCAGGTCGGACTGCGTCAAAGCCGGGCACAGTCTAGGGGAACAAAGACCGGCATAATTCCAACGTACATGTTGCAGCATTTAAGGGATCTCCCTTTCAGGAGCTAGCCATGCAATTTTGTATGTTTCATCCTTCCACAATGGGAAACATGCAGAGCCCAGGAGAAGGACATGTTGACTCCCAGCAGCTTGTAAGGGATTAGACAAGCCGCTATCTCAAAGACAGGCACAGGGCAAACGAAAAGGCGGAAAGCCCCAGCTACTGTGAATGGACGAAACCCTTTCCCACCACTTTGAAACCATAAACAGAGGAGTCACTATTCCAGGGTTTCTTACGCGGATGCAGGATTTCGGCCATCCATAGTATGGTCAATATCACCTATCAAAGAAGCTTGGATAGATTTCGGCTACGGCAGATTGCGATAAGCCTCCGGCATCTGCCACCACCGACTTTTCCTCATCGTCGCCCTCCTCCTCAGAAATACGGTGGATGGACGAAATCCTGCACCACCCTAACAAACCCTGGAATGGTGATTTCCCTGCAAATTCCAACAAACCGTTTTCTATGGTTTCAAATGCAGCACGATTTGGGGACACATAATCACATTACCTCTGATTGGTGGTTTGGACAGTAGGGGGTACCTTCCTTGTTTGGCTGTAGGTCAACACCAACGGTTCCATTTTGGGGTAGGTGCACCAGGGTTTTGACCCCTGGCCATTGGGATTCAAAAGGAAACCCCCAAACCACCAATTCAAGCCACCGATTGAGAGGTACCGTGATATCATGTTGACCCCCATTTAAATTATATAACTCCCCGCTCTTATCAGTCGGCGGGGATGCCCTGAGGAAAGCTCAACCACAAGTGGTAGGTGTGGGGTCGACATGATTTTCTCTTGACTAGAACTGATTGCTTAGGCAACCGGTGCAAGGAAGGGGTGGCAGGGGGGCATATGCTTCCCTTTTGGGAGTGCCACATCTGGGTTCCATGCCTGGATGTAGCTGTGTCGACACGCCGGGGCCCAATCCCACGAGTGATCCACCGGTGGACGGTATTTCCCTTCCAAAAGTTGCTTGTTGTGGGTGTTCTTAGCTTAGCCTGTCGGAAAATGCATAGGTTCCACCGGTTTCTATCATGTACCATCTTTTTTTTTGTTCAAAAGGACACCTATGGTCCTATGGTTGGTAGTTCTTGTAAAGCAGTCTTTGTTCGAAAGGCTGAAAGGTTACAGCTTCATAACGAGCAAACCAGTACATAGGCGAACCCCACTCCTGATTGATGGTTTGCCATTGACGCTCCAGGTTGTCCGCGTCCGGATAGAAGAAAATCACCAGGGAGATGCGACCGTCTTTGATGTCGGGCCTCTCTGGTGCACACATCTCCGCTCACATCCGCAACAGGACATGTCACTTCAATTAAGCGAATTAACAGACAGGGGTATCCTCCAAAAAACATGCATGGAACTCCATACATAGGGATGCTTTGGAACCGGCACATGTTGTTTGCCTTGCGAGGCTCTGGGATCCTGTGGAGGCGCGTCCTTTTGCGGAAGCCTTCTTTGGATTTGTGCAACCGCTAACTACTTCCACTGAGCATTTCCTTTGAAAACAAAGGGGCCCCCATGAGTGGCTCATGTTTCTATTTTCCGACCCTTTGGCCGAGCCTGGGCCGAACTACCCGGAAAAAACCAGATCAAGTGAGTTTTCTCGGCTTTGCTTCTCTTTCGAGGTCTGAATCACAAGAACAATCACAAGGAGCTTTCCTGGCTTCCGCAACCAACCAACCTTTGCAAACAAAAACCGAAACCCGAAAAAGCAACTCTACACCCACCTAAAGGGCCCCTATCCATCTCCGCAGTGCCCCAAGGCCGCTCCTTCAGCTACTCTATCATGACCCGCCTCGCGTGTTTGTGACTATTTTTTTGGCTCTAAGGCGTATTTCGCACGGGCTGCTCTGCGCGAGGTTGGGCCACCCCCTTGTAACATGTAAACAGACATAGGCCCGGAACATACAATGACATCAACCTAAACCAGGGCCATCTATTCTTCATGACACTAACCTAAAAGGACACCTACTGTGGATGGACGAAATCCTGCACCACTGTGAAACCATGCGAAACCACTGTTGGTTGGTATTTACAGGTCAATCGCTATCCCCAGGGTTTCTTAGGTGGTGCGAATTGGATTTCGTCCAGCCACAGTATGAACATTATACCCACCAACCAATTTCCAGCTGAGAACCTCCCACTCCAGCGAATCGATCATCCGCCAAGCGGCATGGAGGGCACGCCGTGGTTTTGGGTGCCGAAAACGATGAGGTCCCCGTCCCGCAGCAGCACCGGGCGATTGTCCACCTCAGCGACACGTCTACTTCCATTTGGTTAAGACCCCTGGAAAAAAATAAATATACTCCCAGTAGTGATCACTTCTTTTTTAAACCAACAAGAGAAAAAGGCGACAAAGGCTGCCCCGATTAAAAAAAATCGGAGATGGCAGATGCAGATTTGGAGCCATATAAGAGATCACTTGGCAGCCAAGCCCTTAGAATGGCCCAAATGGCGTTCAACCTTCGCAAAGGGTGGCCTTTTCCATGGTCTGCTCTCGTTTGGTTGCGAAGGCGGCCAACAGCAAAGGGCACGCTTGCCACCAAGGGAATGAAGACAATTAAGCAGGGAGTCTGGGAAAGAATAAGAACATGTTGAAAAACTGTTGGTGCCCTTATGGAAGTTTACCATGGGCCTTTTAACATCCAAACCCCAAAAGCGGAAGTCCCCAAATATGAAGCGACGGAAAACAAACAGAACACGAATAACCACCTCAGCTGTTGCCCCCCAACCAAGAACGGTGCTGCTTTGGTGCTTAAATCTAGCGAGCCTTAAAACTCATTCCCAAGAGGCAAATACGGCGGACTTGCTGCAAAGCCACCGTCAAAATCCGCTCGGAGCCAAAGGACAGCCTAAGATGTGAGCAGAGATTCGCAGACGTTTGAGGGAGGGAGGGGGGGAGGGTTGGCGCGTCCTTCAAAAACGGGTAGATTTTAAAGAAGAACTAACTTTGAAAAGATTGAGGAAGCAACCCGTAGAAACACTACAGTTGACCGGGTTGTCCTCCTACCCCTTCTCGAACTTCCATTCCACCAAGAATGCAGGACAAGGGTTCGGGGCCACGTTGCTCAATCCAGGTTCTCAACGAGCGACACTGGCATGAGCACGTTGAGTTAAAGATATCTTGCCCTACAAAAAGCTTCCCGCATCTAGAATGGCCGGCAGCATGGCCAGACTAGATCGAAGCTTGAGCCGGTGGTCGAGGGAGAGCGTGGAGGGAGACACCTCAACATGGGACTCACTTACTTAGGCGCCAAGACCACGGTGCGCCACGCGGCGGAAATACGATGAAGGGGGTCTGGTGCCCATTTTGGGGCCACCCAAAAGCAAGGCGCAGTACTGCAAACCTCGATCCGCAGCCACGCGCGAGGATGTTGCGGCGGTCTCAAGTAAGGATCGTGCCTGAATAAAGGTGTGGTTGGTAGCCATGAAAACGTTGCGTTAGAGGTGAACAACCTTGGTCCACGCCTTTGCGCTTCATGCCGGCTTTTCCTTCAAGCATTGTTTCCGCAGTGCGCCTGAAGAAAACCAGTATAAGCACTGCGTGTAATTTGCCAGTGTGACAGACCACCTAGCTTCTTGCACTTGCACCGTCTGAGCGCCGGGGCCTGGTCCTCCTCTTCTTCCTCTGAGGCAGGTTGAGAGTTGCTGGCGACAGCCGACAGAAATCGCGCTGTGGGATTGTCTTCAAACCTGGCAGTCACAGGAAGCAAAGCGGAAATTGCGAACTGGGCTTGTCGTTTGATCAAAGAACAAGCGCTGCTTCCTCTTGGGTTTCAATCAAAAACCTGCCTGTGAACCACGGCCAGAAAGACTGTGAGCAGACTTAATTAGCACATTGTTCTAGGCCAGGGATCATGCCGCGGACGAAAGAAGCAAATCAAGTAACAGCGCCATAAAGCTGTTGTTACTGCTCGGTTGGCTGCACCTTGCCTACACACACACGCATTGACACTGCGCTTTGCTTCTCAGCAGCGATCACCTTCGTCCATCTTGCACTCCGCCGCCCAGCCTGGTCCAAGAAGCTCACCCAGTCCTGGGCACGCGTGCACAGGTCAAGCCACATGTGACCGAAATCCCACCCGGCGCAAGGCAATCTTCAGCCAAGTCGGTGCTCTTGGACCAGATCTGAGGCGGCTTCCACTGGTGATCCATGGCGCTTGTTGGCTGTGCTGTAGCCTGTTCGACATGTCGGGGTCCTATCACAATCCGTAATTTGCCTTGCTCTCATTCTCCGCGCTTCATGCTGGAGCATCGAGCATCCACGCAACCCGCGCCGGTTACGTGCTGGTCTCAGATGTCCATTTGGCCGGCCAACATCTTGCAAAAAAAACTGAAAAGGTCCCAAGGCGCCTCATGAACAAATGAAAACAGGAAACATCCCTTTTGCAAGCTACGAAGAAAATTCTCGTACACTAGGGTACCCATGTCACAAACAGGCGGCATCCAAAGATCCCCATAGCATCATCAACTCCCTCAACCAGCATCACGCCGAATTCCAACTTAGCTCAAGCAAGCTCAAGCTAGCAAAGTGGTTTGCAGAAGAGCACGCAGCAGCTCTGCAAACCTCAGTTGGCCAAAAACCATGTTCCTAAACAACTAAGATCCGGACAGGACCAACACAAAACAGTTCCAAATGTGTGTCTGGCGACCATGGGATCTCTAATAAGCCCTCCGATTCCAACAAGCAAGGCCCCAAACCCGCGTCACCCAGCATCACCACAAAACGCCACGAGACATCCCAGCATCACAAACTTTCACACCCCGTTTCTTGGCGAGCGGTGCGCAAACACAGTATCACCGGGACGACTCAACTTGAATTAGCCAAGAAACTTCCGTGCTTTCAGCAACTAAAAAGTAAGCTCTGTTCAAACCATCTTCAGGTAAATGCGACTGCCACAACTCTGACGCGTCTCAGCACTTGTTGGATCTTCATCCAGAATCCCTTGATGCGGTTGGTCCTCCACGACGCAAACATCCAAAATCGCAAGCCAAGCAGAACGAGAAGGCAAAAGGACAAAGAGGGGAGGCGGGCTGCAAGCTACGGTCGGGCCACACCAATGCCAAGCAAATGAAGGATGCGCATTCTGCCTCTCGCTTCGCTCTCTCTGATGTGTCTCAGTCTGCTCAGCATGCACGCGCGCTCGCTCAAAATGCCAGAATCCTGAAATCAGACGGCCTAAGGGACGTAGGCGTAGGCATACCTGCGGGCTGCGAGGCACCAACCATGTCTTGTGAAGCCCGGATTGCTTCACCGACGCGAACGAGGTGGGCAGAGGCAAAGCCGTCGCTGCGGAATTCGAAGGCGTGGAGTGAGCCGCCCTACCGGTTGAAGTCGCATCAGGAAGTCAAGGATGAGGGGCAAAATAGCATAGATAGCACACGATAGTCTCGGGCCGGAGTTTCTAAGACAGAAAAACAGGAAGGTCCATGTCTTGCAAAGAAACAGGTCGGATGGGTCCTGCCTCCAACCAAGCGACAGAATTGGCAGGACGCCTGAAATCCGTCACGTAGCACGAGATAGGCTACGAAGATTTTCCACGAAGATGCTGGCAGACTGCAGGAAGAGAAAGTGCTGGAAGAAAACCCATCGAGCAAACAAGTGGCACCAGGGCAACTAAAGCGGCGCGTCTTTGGCACTCTCTGCTAGATACGGAAAATCCTCCTCCCCCCAAATCTACCATGGAGCTCGTGCTGAAAAGGGCCTAAGCTGGTTAAACTGGAAGATTACCGGCCTAAGCTGGCTAAACTTGCTAAACTGAACAGAGCCTAAGCTGGTTCAAGGGTCCCCGAAAACGGCCAAGCGCTTTCGCAAAAAAGCGCGAAGAAGCCTCCCTCTTCCAACCAGCCTCGAGCTTTGGAAGACCCGAAAAGGGAAGGACCCCTTTCAGAAATCAAAGCTTCCCAGGGCGAACGCCGCGGACACCCCGTCGCCGACCAGCCAAAGTATTCAAATACAACCCGTCTCCTTCATATCTTCCGGACATTCATGGGTTCAAACATAGGTGCCCAAAATGAACCTCCGGTACATGGAAAAGTAGGCTAAAACCTATTGTCCCCTGGCTCTTCAATTTTCTTGTCTGAACTTGATGTTCTTCCAGGGGTGTTTTTTAGATGCGAAAAGAGTGGATTTGGAGCAAGAAAACTTCATCCCACTGTCGCCCTTGTCCTTCAACAATGTTGACGCCGGATTAGTAAACCCCTGTTCATGGATATGGGGGTGTTCCCCTCCAAGAGTGAAGAATCCCAAATCCCCTGCAAAAAAGGACAAAAAACAGGGACACTTTCATATGAATAAACCGAGGCGTAGCAATCTGGGGTCAACATTGCATGTACAAGTTTGCCAAAAGTCAGACATTTGCCCTTGAAACGTAATTGGTGGTTTCGCATAGCTTGAAACAACCCCCTCGAGGGGAGGCTCAAAAAGCACAGACACCCACAAGGGTCACGTTCAACATCTGTTCCCGAGAAGGGCACGGACAGGATAAATATGTTCACCGTGCCGTTTCAGGCAACTCCTGCGGGCCGTGGTGGTTCCAGAAATGTGTTAGAACCTGAATTGGTTCTTTAAATCCCCTGTAAGGCGTCCGTGACAGTCCCAGGTGACCAACTAAGCGGGTCTTTTAATCCAGGCACACGGGTCTTTCTCAAAATAGTGTGGGGGTATCTTCCCCATTCTTTCCAGGACCCTTCTTTCCAGAACCCCCCCCCCCTCCGCCCCGGAAACTCTTGGACAACACTAAACGGACGGTTGTTGAAAAGAATCACGGTCAAAAACTGGGCATGGGAACAAAGGGCACCCTTTGTTTTGGCGGTTGTTTTAAAGGGAAAAGAATGGAAAAGGCACCATTTGGGGATCTGGGATCAAAGAAGTCGTCCGCCGGGCAACAGGCAGGTCCAAAAGTCGTGGCGGTGTGGAGAGATCTTGTCCTTTCCATCCGCATAGAAGTTCATGAAGATCCGCGCTTGTGGGTCGCGGATGTCCATTTTGGAAAACCTGGGGCAAAGGTGTTGACGGTGGACCAGCGCTTTATTTGCTCTAAAGGAAGGTTGTCTTATGACTCCTTCAAGGTTGGCACAGCTAGGGTTTGGATCCGAATCTGATTCACAGCAAGGGAGCCAAAGGAGTGACAAAGAATCAATCAAAAAAAGCCAAAAGCGCATCTGAATCGTTTTCTGAATTAAAGCCTCTTATGATCCAAGACTTCAACTAGTGAACATCCGCCAAGGTCCAAGAGTACGTGGACCCTCCAGCCCTGGGCCTTTCAGTCTTTTCATTGTCCTTTCGGCGTGTTCAGATCTGGTCCCGGCTGCCAGGGAGAAAAGTCCTTGGCCAACAACGTACTCTCAGTTGCGAAGTCTGCTCCCCTGCCAAAAGTTTAACTTTTGATGGTTTAATTCGGAAAATCCTTTGGTTGGCAAATAATTACAATGTATAACTGCTCGCCCACAAAAGCAAGCTAAACCTGCAGCATGGTGACTGAAGGAGGAGCACAGGTTCCAAAGAGCCATCAAGACCCAGCACGCAAAGAGCATGCCCAAACAATCTATGGATTCCTGAGAGCATCCACCTCTATTTGTGGTTGTTGTTGTTGTTGTTGTTGTTGTTGTTGTTGTTGTTGTTGTTGTTGTTGTTGTTGTTGTTGTTGTTGTTGTTGTTGTTGTTGTTGTTGTTGTCCTCTAACAACCTCCCACTTCCCAGGCGTTTGCTCAAGTACGACGTCTGTTATTTTGAACTGTCTTGCAAACACATGACGTTTGACAGAGCAGAAGCAAACACACAGATTTCTGCGGTGACTCCACCAAAATTTACGCAAGCCCCCTGTTTAGAATGTTTCAACACCTCGTGTTTAAACATCCTCCTGCTGATTTCCCTTTACAGGGTACGAAACAGAATCTGGCTGTTCAAACCAACTTTGCAACCAATCCCTTTCATTTGCTTCAGCCCCCTGGAAAAAAATCCAGTAGTGATAGATTCCCTTTAAAACCAACAAGGGAAATTAAACATATTCTTAAGCAAATGGAAGACCCGCACACGTCTCGAAGACGCAAGCGGCACTTGCTGAAGGATCTTGTCCAAGAAGTCAATGCCGCCAGAGTAGTCAGCCACCATGCGCCCTGGCTACAAGCTGGACATGCCCTTTCTCTTTGCAGGGCCAAAAAACCAAGGACCCCCCCCCCCGGGCGCTGAAGGAAGGCCATTCTGCTTTAGGGAGGGTACCATTGAAAGAATGTGTGGGCCCTCTAAAAGTGACATGTTCCTTCTCAACGACTGCCAAACTTGCGCCAAAAGGGCCTGCAACAGGGCATGATTTTGCGGAAGCGCAAGGGGGACAGGTAACTTTGGGCTGTCTTGCAGAGCATTGATTTGCCAACACACCCAGAATGAATTCCCTTTCTTAAACGGGTTGACGAATCAGAATACACCACAGCTGGAAAAAACAATGCAGAGTGTGCATTTGTCGAGCGGGTCGCGGGGACCATCTTGTGCTTGACAGGGAAACCATACTGGAGTAACTAGGGTTGGCTACGGACGTTTTAAGCGGGCTAGACAATCCCGAGTCAGTAATTGGGCTTTAGTGGGCCGTTGATGGAACTGTGACCATGATCCCAAGGTGGTTTGACAGAGCGTATGGCTTTGTGTCAAAGCTGGGGACCCCGTTTGGTGTGTGACGGTCCGTGCAAGGAAGCCACCATGAAGCCGCTTGGGAGCCTCTTCATCTAGCGTTGCTAACTGCTCGAGAAAACGCTCAACATATAGAATGACACACTCCACGGCCCAGCGGCCAAGGGGTGAGTCAGTGAGTCAATCTGCTTGTTCGCTTGGCTTTTAGGTGTCCAAGACCATAGCTCGGTCTAAAATGTCCGGGACGTCCAGCCAATGGCTCATTTGAACTCACTCCGACCCAGGGTGGACCGTGGCAATCAAAACGACGCAGCATGCATGTATGTGTGTGTGAGTGGTTGAATTTGCGAAGCACTGGCTGTGCAAGTGGCAGTCATGCTTTGAAGTGTCTTGATGGGCATATTCCAAAGAAGTGCGAAGACGAAGTTGCATGAGCCCTGCTAAGCTCGTCGCTGCCTTTGCCTTTAGAAAGCTGTGTCTTAAAAAGGATTCCAGAAGCATACATGTTACATGGCTGTGGGTCGAAACCAATGGTACCATTTTGGGGTAGGTGCACCACCCATTTTGGTCTATTTTAGTGGGGATTGGGATGTTCACTGGGGGTACGGGCTCTTGACCCATGGCCACATGTGTCAAGTTGTTCAGCTCAGAAAAAATAGAGCAAGGTAGGGCACCATGCCTAGGGAAGCGGCTTCTGTTCTTAACGTGGAACCGACGAAACAAGGTGGGCAACAAGAAAACCTGTGGGGCACTCCTCCGGGTCGGTGTTTCGGTTCATCATCCAAGGGGCTCGGTTTCTTTTGAAAGCTTCACCAAGGGTGGCTTTTGACATGCCATTCGGCGAACACAAAACCCACGTCGCCCCAGTGCTCCCCCCGCCCTCCCCCCCCCCCCCCCCCGCGCTGGCGCCTGCGCTCACGGATTGGCCCTTCTCGTTGTATCTCAGCGACAGCTCTCCGGTGTTGGGGTCCCGGACCACCACTTTGGCTTGCCGCCAGGAAGCCTCTCGCGCGACGCGCTGCGTCTTGGCTCGTCTTTGGCTCAGAAGGCAATGAGACATGGAAGAACCTGCATAAACCATGCTGGTGTTTTTTGAGGGAATCCCCAACACCAGTTTGCTTCGTTTTTGGGGCTCTCAGAAGGGAATGAGACATGGAATGACCCCCCATAAACCATCCAACTGGTTGTTTTTGTTTGAAGGGAATCCCCAACACCAGTTATATTCCCAACTGCCCAAGTCATTCCCCTCCCTATCGCACGGGCAAGTCAAAGATAGGATCAGAAATTCCAAAGTCCAAACGCTTTTAGAACCTGTCGAGGGATCAACTTTTGGTAGTCCAAAGGCCAGCATAAATCCCTCGAGTTCCCCAGAAGCTCCAAGCTCAAGGGCCGTGAACCACCACAAACGCTCAGTGAGTCGTACGCGACGCTCCAATCCGGACTTCAAAGTTGGTGTAGCCTGGGTCCTCCAGTAGAGAGGTTAGAATAAGGGTACCCATTGTGTTCTGTAGTCTATTTGAGTAGGGGAACCCTCCCCAACTCAAGGGTAAAAGGGCCCTACTGGGGGACCTAGTAGCAACAAACAATGGAACCCTTTTGGGGGTTGTCGTCATGCTTTGCACCAGAGCCACCGAAAAGGGGCGAAAAGGGGCTGGTTGGGGATTCACCTTCGAGCCACTCACTCAGCTTACCACCCAAAACCTGCTGTGTGCGTGATTGAAAGTCCCCAGATTCGTGGACATCAATCAGCGAAAGGGATTTGTTTCGTGCCGTTCTTTGGCACTTCTTGTTGAAAGGAAACCCCTAAGCCGCTGGAGGCCTGAACAAAAAGCACGCTGAAGACTCGAGAACAGTGGAAAAGCAACTCACCAAACTGGGCTGCCAAAGTTTAACTATTAGCGGGTTAAATGGAAACTACCACTCAACATTAAAAAATCCAAAAGGCTAAGGGCATGGCTGGGTGCATCCTAGTGGTTTGGATCGGTTTATGGGTGGTTAGGGCTGGTTTCCCATTTACCCTCAAGATCCAAAAAAGACACCAACCCAAGCCACCAATTCGGGGCTAGCTGAATATCCAGGCTTGCAGATCCTCATGTACAGAAATAACTACCAGGACTCCGCATGGCCCTTAAAAAGATGGGGACATGGCCCAAAATAATGTGGTCACCCATTTTTTAAAAGGGTCATGGAGGCTCCAGCTACGCGGCCCAGGCTGGGCATAGCCCAGCATCTGCTCCACGCTCGGTAAAGGCTCGATGCTCGGCCTGTTTGACCAAAGAGTCAAAGGTGGAGTTGTCCTTGATGAAGCGCCGCCTCGCATTCTGAGACACATCTCTGGGTCTGGCTCAAAATTAAACAGGAGGGGATACGCGGGTTTTGGTCCATGTTGCCACTTACCAGGGTTCCATCTTGGTACCCCCACAGCCATCTGAGGGCTTTTGGTCCTTCACCTCCAGTCTTGTTTATTTTTTTCCTGGTATTTGACGGGGTGGCCAAAGGGGGGCCGTGAATTGGGAGCTCTTGGCAAGGGGGGACGACCATTTAAAAACAAAACTTGCTTAGCAACCCTGGTCCCTTGGTCGGCCTTTGGTCCTTTGCTCGCCAGGGCCTTTTGGTCCCTTTGGCCCTTTGGTCCGTTGGTGCGTCAGTCAGTTGGCCCTTTTGTCCTTTGGTCCCATGAACCCTTTGTCCTTCGTTTGGTTTTATATATATATATATATATATTGTTTTTCTAGATTTTTCCTTGGTCCTTTGGTGGGAAGCGTTGTTGCTTGGTTGGTTGGTTGGCTGGAGGGCTGGCTGCCTGCCTGCTTGCCTGCTTGTTTATTGGGCTAGGTAGCGGCATGCAGCATCACTTTTTCGAGCATCATTGGGGGCTGCCCGCTGCTTTTTAGAAATCTTACCCCAACCCACCCGCTTACAAATCTCACACAGATTAACATGAATCATTTTCTTGAACAGGCTGCCGCCCCCCCCCCCCCAACCCCCAGGCTGCTGATAGAAATCTTACAAAAGATTAACATGCACCACTGGTTGAATCATCACTTGTTCAATCATCACGGGGGGCTGCGGCCCCCCCAACCCCCCCCTCTGCTTTGTAGAAATCTTGCACAGATTAACATACACCCCTACTTAAATCATCACTTTTTCGAGCATCATTGGGGAGGGGCTGCTGCCCCTTGCCCACCCCCCCGCTGCTTTTTTGGATTTTTCCCCAACCACCCCAAGAACCCAACCTAAACAAACCCAAGAACAAAGCCAGACAAACCCTATACCAACCATAAGCCCCCCCTAAACCACCAGTCCTAAACCCACCCTCAGCTAACCTTAACACACCCGAAGCAAACCCTTCAATGTGACTTGCAAAACAAGTGTGTGTTGCTTGCAAATGCAGTAATTTATTTCTTTTGTCTTGGTGGGGTGGGGGGGGACCCTGAACCTACAACTCGCCCGAAACACACCCCAAACCACCCACACCTGCCCGAAACCCACCATAAGCTCACCCTCAAGCTGCCCTAACCTTCCACAGACCCTCAACCCACTCTCCGAAACTTCCCTAAAGCCGACCCTGGACTTGAAAAAAAACACACACACCAGCCGTCCCGGTTTTGGGACAGTCATTTGCATATTTAGGCATATTTTCCATGTGCCCCTGTGCTGGTTTCCCTACAGAATGCGCTGGCGGAGGAATAGGACCGGCAGGACTTCGTTCGGCACAGCAGCAAACCTTTCATAACTGTATACCATGGTGAAAGAAGGGCAGGCGATCAAAGAAACACCCTGTTCAGCTGGCCCCTGAGTGAATAGTTCGTTTCTGATTCCTAAAAAAGTTAGTCTTTGATTACTAAAAACCGTTGTTGTTTTTGGGGTTCAACAAAAGCTGTTTTTTGCAACCCTACCCTTGCAAGGGCCACCTTTCAAGCAAGTTCCCCTCACTGGACCGAGGAAATGGAAAAAATGAGTGCCCTCTTTGGGCTTCCTTAGCAGCACATCGAAGGAACACCAGCATTTTCCGGGCGCTGCCCTCTGTGGGATGCTCATCTGACAACTATCTGACATGTTACCTTGGTCAATCGACTGGAGGTTCAGAACCCATAAAATACAGAGGCCCTTAAGGCCTTCCGTCCTTCCAAAAAAAGGCTTCCGCGGTCTAAGGCGTACGACCTAGACGCTCGGAATGCGCTTTTTGGCCCTCCCAAAAACTAGAGAGCCTGGTAAGCAAAAGAGGCATGCTGGGAAAATTGAATTGAACAAGTAGCTGTTGGCCTCCGTCTAGAAAAGATAAAATTTGCAAGCCCATTGGTGATGCTCAGAAAACCCTCTGTCAGGTGGATCCAAAAAAATCCAGTGAACCGTACCCTGAAAACGCTGAAAACGGTGGCTTGTTGCGGCTTCCTTGTTGCAACCGGCCACACCATGCAAGGGAAACACATTCCTCGTCCCCAGTGACCCCAGAATAATAAACAGGGCGGATTCATGGAACGTCTCTCTTGCCGGATGCCACCCGAAAAGGGCTGGGCCCGCGAATCAAGCCGGGGCTTCATTTCCGAAAGTCCCGAAGCCCCGGATCCTATGACTCCCTCGCTTTCCCAAGCACTGGTTTGGGGCCGGATGACCGTGTCGACACTCGTACCCTTGCCCGATCGCTTGCCCAATCGCTTTAATGTTGACGCCGGATTGGGAACAAACAAGCAAAACAAAGAAAGAATCAAGAACACAAGGAAATATGCAAATGCATTTCTACATGCATACAACAAGTACACAAATGTGTATCTATATATATATATATGTGTGTATTACACCTAGATCTTCACATCATCTCTACCCGTGCGCATCACCCCCTGACCGCATCGCCCCGAGGCGCCGGATGTCGAGGTCGCGGAAGGCGCTGAGCGAGGCCTTCTGCAGCACCACGTCCCGGGCGCCCGCGGGGCGCTCCAAGGTGGCCGGGTGCTCGCGCCACCACCTACCGAGCGCATCGGAAAGACGCGCGGTGCATGGGGGGAGAGGTGGGAGGGGACGGGTGTGTGGGTGGGTGGGTGGGTGGGGGGGAGGTGGGGTAGGAGGTTGGGTGGTGGTAGGTAGGTGGGGTAGGTGGGTGGTAGGTGGGTGGTGGGGAGGTGGGGTAGGTGGAGTAGGTGGGGCAGGTGGGGTGGGGGGTGGGGGGTAGGTGAGGGGCGGTGGGGGCTGGGTGGGGGGGGTAGGTGGTAGGTGGGGTAGGCGGGGTAGGCGGGGTGGGCGGGGTAGGTGGGGTAGGTGGGGTAGGTGGGGTAGGTGGGGTAGGTGGGGTAGGTGGGGTAGGTGAGGTAGGCGGGGTAGGTGGGGTAGGTGGGGTAGGTGGTAGGCGGGTAGGTGGGGTAGGCGGGGTAGGTGGGGTAGGTGTACGTGGGGTAGGTGGGGTAGGTGGGGTATGTGGCGTAGGTGGGGTAGGTGGGGTAGGTGGGGTAGGTGGGGAAGGTGTAGGCGGGGTAGGCGGGGTAGGCGGTAGGCGGAGTAGGCGGGGTGGTGGGGTAGGTGGGGTAGGTGGGGTAGGTGGGGTAGGTGGGGTAGGTGGGGTAGGTGGGGTAGGTGGGGTAGGCTGGGTAGGCTGGGGTAGGTGGGGTAGGTGGGGTAGGTGGGGTAGGTGGGGTAGGTGGGGT